AGCGATCCGCGACGAGTGGCACCCTCCTTCCTCCCGACCCCCCTCGACCTCCCCTTAACCGCAACATTTCCTGTCGATACTGCCGGCTACCGGAAGCCCCCTCTCCGCCTCGGATTCGACCTTTTCCAGCACCGTATCCGTAGGAATCCATCGAGGGCCAGAGGAGTTATTTCCCGACGCGCTTATCGGGGGTGCTTCGGGTCTCTTATCAAGGGGCGCGCCACCTCCGCGGTCGATCGGGCACGTAGACGAAATTCGAGACTCGAGATTCGGGACGCGGCCTCGTTATCGAGCAGTCGACCCGTTCCTTGTCGAAAACCAACGACCCCCTCGTATCGCTCTCGAACTCCACCCCGAAAAATAAAGCCGCGACGAGTAGAGGGCGCTCGATGCAAGAGGGTCGAATCGTATCCGAGTGTCGCCCCGCCCGGACCTCTCTCAACAGGTTGTCAGATGTAATTGTGCCTCCCGTTACTTGCGATAAAAGTATGCCCCCCAGTTTCGGCATCTACTTCCGGGATATGCATCTTGGACGCGGGGAAAGTTCGGACGTTTATGCGGCGAGTTCGGTCGCGCGGTCCTGGGAAAGCTCGACGTCGGGGGACGGAAACTCCGTTAGCGACGACTAGCGCTTTCCGTTAATCGAGGAGACGTTCCGTCGTTTCTCGAGAATCAATCTCGCGGCGGTGACGGTAACGAAGGGCGGCGGCGGAACGGCACGCGGAGAGAGCTTGCGAGGATTTCGGAGCGAGTCGAGCCTCGCTCGCGTTTAACCGGGGGGTCGAGCTTCTTCCTCCCTCAGGAATGTCGTCGAAATGGCGACCCGCCGCTTTCCCCGGGTAATTGAAGGGAAAGGGAAGGAAAAGCCAGGCAGCCGCATCGCGGAGGTGCGAGCTAGACGATATTCCGCCCGGAAAAGCTCCCGGCTCCTTTGCCCCGCCGACGTGGAGCAATCTTGCTTCGTGGATCCTCCCTTTCCTCCTTTTCTCCCGATTTTTCCGCCGCATCTTCTCGCGGAAAAGAACTTTGGAAAATTCAGACGAAAGTCTCGCCTTTGGGAGAAGCTCGCTTTACGACCTCGAGCTTAAGTTAGGGTTAACGGCTCGGAGGGTTGAAGGTTTTTGCGAGGGTGTAATAAATGTTGGTCGCTCGCGGTACACGATCTTTCCGTTCGAATTAAAAGGGACGATCGGGAAGTTTGCTCGCCAAGTCCGCCATCGGGAGGGACGACTTCCCTCGGCGCAGAAATAACGAAATTCCCAGCTTTTTATTTTAGGATTTTATCAAAAGGAAATTTAACCCCGAAGGAACTGGTGGCCGGGTGCTTTGGTTCGCCGGCAAGAGGCAATCTCGCCTCCCGAGCTCTGTCTTCGAATTGCCACAAGTTTCGGGAAGCTCCTTCGAGGCGGAGGGGAAGGAAAGTTAGAGGGAGAGTCGGAACTTCGGGAAAAAGCGGGAAGGTAAAAGAAGTCCGCGCAGGAGGATAGTCACCTCCGGAAACGAGGGATCGTTTCGAAAATGGTACTCCCGCAAAGTGGCCATTTTCTTTTTCTTTTTTCTAAACGAGCAACCCTCGCGTCGAAGACATCACCGGCGATCGAAGACGCGATGAAAGTCTTCGAGACGAAAAATCGAGTGCTTCCTTAATAACTAAATCGGCGCGGGGCCGAATGTTCGGTAACGACGTTTTCATCGAATTGCTTTCCGGACAAACCGATGTACCGAGGCACGAGTTAACTTCCAGCTCGAGCTTCAACTTCGCGTCTCGCTTCCCTTGATCCAATTCCGTGGTCGTACTTTGGACCAGCCAAAGTACCCGGTCCTCAACTTGGGACGGATTCGAGACGATCGATGTTTCGCGGCTGTCTGGCGGGGCATTATTAATAATATCCCGAGTGGAGTGTATGCCTCGAATTTCTGAAACTTCCCGGAGGGAAGTCCGTCGTCCGAGAGCGACGCACCGGGATTTATGAACGAGACTTTGCAACTTGGATTTTTCATTCCGCCTCGTAACAGCGACTTCATCGTTCGGCGCGGCTTAGCGGCGTTCGGCTCGGACCCTGTCCTGTTGAACCAGGAATGTTAAAGAGCTTATTACGGTTTAATTAAAACTCAAGAGAGAGGGAAGTCGAGAAAAAGCCAGGGGTCTCAAGTTTCGCCGGTACCCTCGGCAAGTACCAGACTCAGACGAAACGCCGCGTCAAATAAGAAGGAGGAATTACTTCGGAGTCCTTTGAGGTACTCGAGAGTTGGAATCGCGAAACCGGAAATGATAATTCCTATTACGGCGATGCCGGGAATAATAATGCCCGTTGCGGAGATCCTTGCGTCTCGGGCAATCTTCTCGACCTGGGCGAGGGCCCATTGGGTCCGTCAGACCTTTCTCGACGGAAAATGAACGATTCCACATAAGGCGCGCATTGTCGTCGCGGGGAGACGTCGGGGATAACGACGGGGCATAAAGGCAGCTCTCATAAGGGGTCCTGGCCCGTCCCAGACGCCGACTTCCTGGATTTTCTGGCTTCTCCGATGCCATTCTCCGGGACCTTCCTCCTCCCGGACCCTCCGTGATCATCCCGCTTCAAAAGCGCGCATCTTTAGTTGGCGGAGAGAGAGAGAGAGAGAGAGGGCGGAAAATCCACTAACCGAGAGGCGGCGAGATACAGACGGTAGCGGAGAGCTGTCCCTCCCGGTGGAGTCGCTCCTGCATTTTCCAGGGTTGCTTTCCCAATTTCCCTCGTAATCGCGCCGCATATCTCCGCGACGATGACGTAACGATTTTCCCGGGAAAGTCGACGTCCGGGCTCCCTTGAACTTCGAAATCGCAATTGCGCGAAACGGGAAGAGCCAGGGGGACCGGAATTTATTCACCCCGGGTGTTCCCATTAAGAATTCGCTCGCATCGCGGAATTACCACGAGAGGAGACTTTTTTTCCCACCGATTTCCCGGCACAACCTCGCTTCTACTTTTATTTCCTTAACGCGTCCTCCCGTTCCCAGCCCGTCGGACTCGGTCGCAGGTGCGCCTCGCGCAGCTTTGCCCTGTTTGCACTTCGCACCGGCAAACATCCTTGCTGGAAACGCGAAACGCAAACAACGGGCATCGGCGCTTGATTTAACGCCCTCGGGGCCGAAAGTCCGGGTCGAGGTGTTCGGTCCGAGTGATCGATAAAATATAGAGATCTCGGGAAGAACGAGTTCGCAGGTCGGACCGATGGACGCGGAGAATGGAAATCGCGTCCGCGAGGTGCGGATCTGGAATCGAGTAAAGCTTAGCCGAACGAGGTCCGATGGTCGAGGGCCATTAATCCGGATCCCCAAAGGGACGGGTACCCCCAGGGGTCGCGGAAGAGGGCGGAGTCGATCGTCTTCGTGGTCGAGATCGAGGACCCTTCGGGGTTTCGATGGCCGGCTTATTTCTGGCCTACTTCGCCCTCCTCGACGCAATATCCGCGACTCGCCGACCGCACGGGGCGGAGCGGATACGTTTATTTCTGGCCCCTCCTCTGGGGCAGCCACGCGGGCGGAAACCGTGAATGGGATGGCTGGAACGACCGGAGCCGTGTCCCCATCGAGGTCCGGCCATTCGCAGCGGGTGGATCGACCCGGTCGAGACGAGCGATCCCGAGTCCATCCAAGAAGCTCGCGACCCGATTGCGCCGAATTTATCCCAGACGATTCCCAGCATCCGCGAGACCTGGACCGACTCGATATCCCAAAGGAACCGGCCGATGATTCTAAGCAAAAGTGGAGGGGCTAGTAGACGCGTCTTCGTCCCGTCCTTATTCCGTGCTGCGATCGATTCATCGCCGGTAATGAGAAAATAATACGGTATAGGTGTAATAGACAGGAGGGCAAGGAAAGTAAGAAAGAGCTATTAAGGAGCAACGGGACCCTGATGAGAACGAGTCGACGACGTCGCCTCGGGGCAAAGCTTCAATTTTTCGTTTTCCGCGCGGAAGCCCCGCTTGTTACTCGGTTTTCTCGCCATTTGACAAACGATCGCGGTACATCCGCGGAGTCGCGGGATCGTTAGGGGATCGAGGCACGAGAGGCAGAAAGTCGTTACTCTTCCGGGACGACGATGTATTACAGCGCGTATCCTTCCCTCCCTGGGGATCATCCCTTTGCAGTCATGTCGCGGGGGCATTCCGCCGTTTCTCCGCGTTTCCGCGTCCTTGATCCCGCGACCGAGAGTCCCTTTCCGCGGATACCCTTCGACCCGCCTCAAAGAGCGAGGCGAAACCGATATCGCCGATACTACTTTCTCGGCGATTAATCACCGTACCCGGGGATCCGATTAAATGAAATTCGAGAAAAAGGCCTCGATCGAAGTGGCTCGAATTTGGATAATTGCATTAATTGTCCGCCCCTCTCTCCTCGCAGCCGCCGTTCCCGGATCGATGTCCCTCCGGCGAGCCCGGGTGCCTTTGTCCCTTTGTTCCGGCGTTCTCGTTCTTGTACTTCTTCCAGCCCTCCGGCCCCGTCGAGGCACTCGGGGCGAGGCTGCACAATTTGTCATAATTATCTCCCCGCGATTACCGCGCTCCACGTGACTTCCGGCTCGCGGAGCGGAAACCTCGCCAGCGCGAATCGGGACCATCGCGATCGACCCGGCTGACCGAGGGGTCGCGGGGTCGGGCCCGGTCGTTCCCGGGTCGTCATCCGCGAGTCCCGCGACCCGGGACGACCCGAGACGACCCGACCCCTCCGCTCTCCCTCGGGAGCTCGATTCCTCGAGGACCGGCGCCGTAAACGCGGCCTCGTAAATTCCTCGGATATTTACGAGGCTCGCTCCGGGCTTCTTCGCGGCTACCCTTAGCCACCTTTAGCCACCCTTAGTTATCCCCGGCCGTCTTCCGCTCGAATTTTCCATCCCCGGTTTAAGGCTCGCGGGAATTGCGCCCGTCGGTTTACGCACGCTTAATGCAGGGGTGCGTCCCTCGCCGCGTAATTTATAAACGTAACCGCCTTGACGATTTCGACTTTACCTGTTTCAGCTCGGCGACTGAACGAGTACATTCGCCACTACGAGACCTTGTCCTACCCCACGGAGCAGGTGCATCGAGGCCATCTCCGGGCGAGGAGGTCCCTCTCGCGCGACAACGCCGTCACGGTCAAATTTCGCTCTCACGGCCGGGACTTCCACCTGCGGCTCAAGAGGGACCTCAACACCTTCGGCAGCAACTTAATCGTGGAGGGACCCTCCGGGAAGATCGAGGGCCTGGACACCTCCCACGTCTACCAGGGCCACTTGCTCGGTGAGCGCCTCCCGGATACTTTTCCACGACTCTCGTCATCGTCGATGTCTTTCTACTTATTTTTTTTTTTTTTTTTAGAAAATATTAAACGAAACGACATACCGCGCTCGCGTATCTCGCGGGGACGTGGTCGCTCCCGGGAGCAAACTTCCGCTCGGGCGGGCAGAAATTCGCGCAGACTATTGCCCGGGAACCGAGATATATGTTTATCGCGTTATCCTGCGCGATAAAAGTGTCCCTGGCGTTTCTTTACGTAATGTCGTTACGTTACTCGCTCGCGAGTTCCCGCACTCGTAAGTGATCTCTTGTATCCCGCGAGTTCGCTTTGAGGGCCCCTCTCCGTCTCTCGACGTCTCGTGCCCTCCTCCTACCGCGGGCACAGGGCGTCCCATTTGAGAGACGGAGTGCGTGTCGCGGGAGTACTAAAGGCAGCTTTATTCCGCGTTTAAATTTTCAAAAGTCTCCCACACGGCCCGGGTCGTGTTAAATTATGAAGTGGCTCTTCGGCGAGAAAGCCCCGAGCCGTAGTCGGGATTCTTCTACTCTCCCGTTTCGACGTACCTTTATCCGCGACCCGATGCGGCTGCACTACCGAAATCGACGCTCCGAACCTGCATCCTTTGGATGCACCCTCGAAGACCCGCGTTCGCGTCCTCGGATTAAGGAAAAAAAAAAAAAAAAAATCCCCAAAAGTCGAGATCCACTTTCCTACATTCGCCGGATCAACGCCGGGGAATCTCCCTTTTTAATCCCGAGGTCCCTCGATTTCTCTCGGAGCACGCGTCGGTTGTCTCCTCGCGGGCGAGCCGGAAAATGTTTTCGAGAGGCGGCGACAAATACGCGACACTCCGCGGGTGGCTTTTATTTCCATTTCCCCGGGCCACCCGTGGATTTCGGCGGGAATCGGAAAAAGCAAACGCGAGGATGAAAGGTACCCCGAAACAGGGAGAAGAGCGAAAAGCCGATAGGGGAAAATTCCCGTCCTCTTTGGCGCCGCGAATAACTAACGAGCCATTTTTTCCCGGCGCTGAGAGAACGCCCTTTCGTTGGGTTCTTCCGAAATGAACGCGCTTTCGAATTGGCTCGATTGATCTACGGGAATAGCTGGAACGATCCAAAAGTACGAGGGCAGGGGGATCAAATTTGCGCTTATCTCGAGGTAGGTCCATGAGAGAGAGGCTCCGCAGCTTTTCCCGGGAGTGGTCGATTTTTCAAGAAGTTTTCCCGGGGAAATTTCCCGAATCCCCCCGAGAAGAGGAAGGCAAAGACCCCGAGTCCTCGTTAATCCCCGGTCTCATTTCTCCTAATTACTCTTCCCGCAGGTGAGCCCAGCAGCCACGTATTCGGCAGCATAAGCGACGGAGTCTTCCACGGGAAAATCGTCTCGCCACGTGGAGGCGCCTGGTACGTGGAGAGGGCGCACTACTACTTTCCACCTCACGAGGTCAACGAGACTCTGCATTCCGTCATCTACCACGAGAACGACGTCGGCGACCCCTACTCCAGCGTCCGACAAGGTGGGCACCGATGCCAGAACTCGCGAAATTCGGGCCCGGGTCGACCCGGGAGACATCTTCGAGGATGGAATCCGGAATCTCGCCGTCGCCTCCGAAGCTCTGACCGTTCGCGAGAGAGACACCTCGCGGGAATTAATCCTGCCTTCGACAGACCTCGACCGAGCGTCGTGCCGCCGAGGTGTCCGGAAAATTCATTCCGATTCGAGGGATGATTAATGGATCCCGCGTTCCGAGCCAGTCGTCGATGGATCGCGGGTAATCGAGCCGGCCGGCACGGAAGTATGCGAGCTTTCGAGGTCAGGACGCCCGCGGATCCGTCACCGCCTCGACGCGCTCCCGAAATGACATCCCGGCTTCTCCCTCGGGGTGTCTACAATTTTCCGCCCGAACGCGCGTTCGCTTTTCCTCTGCGGATGAAACGTGGAACGTCGGAAAAGAGCCCGGCAGATGGAAAACGTCATTCGGCAACTCGGGAAAAATTCCCCCGATTTTTTTTACCTCGCCCTCTCCTCGCAGGAATTACAGGAGCGACGAGACGCGGATTTTCCGTCGTCGCGACGTCTATCGACTCCGAGGGGCGTCGCCTCGGTGGGGTGCGGCGGGTTTGCGCTTTAATCATGCGGTATGGTGTAATTGGAATTGCGCATACAGCTCGCGGGAGAGTTTCGAGCGTCTAATGGGCCGCGTAAACTTTGCGGGCCGCTCGTTTAAACTGCGGAACGTCACGTTTGTCGCGTTGTCTGCGGAGGACTGCGGGCCGAACCGTTGCCCCTTGAGATTCGCTTAACGGGCGGGCAAGTAGTTGCCGTGTTATCCGTCGATTAAGAGACGGATTCGCGGTCCCGCCGCCGCCGATCCGCATTTGCATACAAACAGATATGGCCTTTGAGAGATACCCCGGCGCCGCTAAATTCCGCCCCATAAGAAGTTTCCCAGCGAAATATCCCTTTTGGGACGTGTCCAAGCTACCGCAGTGCGGACCGCCACGCGGTTTCCGTCTCGCGGCCGGTCCGCGCGGTGCCCCCGGAACCTCGATGCGCCGAATTAGTCGAAACATTAATAAAAGTCACCCGTTGACGCGCATTCTAAGTAACGACGATTCCGCGCGGCTTCGACGACCGCTGCGGGAAACGATCGACCGACTCCTCTTTACGACTTTGTTATCGCCGGCGCCGATTATTTTTTACGCCCGGCGTGATTGTTTAAGTCCGAGCCACCGCACCGCGGTTCCCGCCCGCGGCAATTTGTCAGAGTACCCAGGAGCTCTTTATCCCCCGTCATTAAACCTCGGCGTATTAATCACGGCGCTAATAAAAGTAATTCCCCGGCGCATTGTAACGATAATAATTGCACTCGACTTCGACGAATCGCTGCGGGAGGTCGCCGATCGATTCCTTTTTCCTCGTGGCTTTATTATCGGCGGCATGATTATTCCTCCGTGGCGCGGGGTAAACTCCCTCGCGGATTCAACGAATCGCGGGAGCTTTCTTGAAACCGAGAAACGTCCCCGGCGATTCCAATTGCGGGGTTTGACTTGGAATAACGAAGAGACCGCCGCGGAATTGTAACCAGCGGAGCTGCGCCTCGCGAGGAATAATGAAAGGCGTCGCGGAAAGCTCCCGGTTCCCCTTTTCCCGTTTTCGCTCCGGCTCTCGTTTTGCATCGCCTTCCCTTTTTTTTACGGAGTCGTCGAATGCGATGCACCCCGCGGGGCATGGACGCGCGTTTGATCTCGATTTCGCGAGTTCGATGTTGCTCGGTCCGCGGATTTCCCGAGTAAATTGAAGAAATAAAAAAGAAAAGGACCAGTCAAAAGACGCTCAATGGCATTAATTTCCAGCACGGCGGGGAACTAATAATCGCGTCCTCTCGCGCGGAAGACGCGCCGGCTTTGATCCGGAATAAAAGCGGGGAAGGAAGCGAGAGTTTTGGCCGGTCGGGAAAACGGGGCTCTTTTTCCGGGGCAAAAAAAAAGGACTCTTACGAGCCGGCAACTCTCGTGCGCCGGGCGGTTGCTTATAAGACCCGAGTAAATAGAGTTGCTTAAATAAATAGAGCCGCGACCGGGTGCAATACTTATCGTTGCACGTTGCGTACATACCCTCTCGACGCTCGGAGCTTTCCGGCGCTTGCATGTACGCTCGTCCCCTCTCCGTGCGCATACACCCCCGGATATTATGTACAACGAGCTCGTCCGTGCAGGGGTGGGCGCGCGTATGCACCCCCGCGCATCTGAAATATTAACGAGCCTCTTTGCCCGGCGCATAAATTTCCCTGCGTTTCGCGCTGCAACCGTGTAACCAAACGTACCCTCCCGGCTTTCTTTCTCCCGGCGGGATCCTCTTCGCGAGGCAGAAAGTACCGCAAGAAAGAGGGAAACGAGACGCAAGCCGGAAGGGAGGAAGCCCGAAACATTCCCCCGACTTCCTCGAGAAGAGGGACGTTCGAGCGCGAAATTTCCTCCCCTTGCGTGATTTCGTGACGGGCGATGTATATCCTTGATGCATGTTAAAAAAAAGAAAGAAAACTGCACCGGCAAAAGTGACTCTCGAGCGAGGGTCCGTGCGCGTCGGACACGCGTCGATGCCCCACCGGAGCTTTAAATTACCGCCCCGCCCCTGCGCCGCGGCGGAGAGGAGTAATCTTTACGGCACATCCACGCAAAGTCGGCGGTATTGATAAAGATGGCCGGTATCAGCCGAGGCGCGGGATGCCGGCTTATTAAAGCCCCGACCCTCGGCGATAATGGCATCGACGCCCCGGCGTTATCGGCTTTCGCCTCCAGCCGAGGGCCCGGAACTTCCCCTGGAAATTTCTGCCCCTTCCGGATCACTTCCCAGTCCAACCGGATTTTTTTTCCTCCCAGGGTCGCCTCCGATCCCCGGGTTATCCCGGTTTAATTCGACTCTGGACTCCGCGAAGGATTCGCTCCCGCTTCCTCGGACTCCTCTTCGGGGTCCTCGGTCTTCCGAGCGCTAACAAGGGTTGCCGCTCGACGGGCAGATGCAGTGGCCAACTAACCGGTGAATAACGGCTCGGTGTGCCGAAAGTACCGCGGTAAGCTCTGCCGGGAGCTTTGCGAGCGGCTGTGAGCCCGCCGAGTAAACAGCGCCGAGCTTTGCGAGGGCAAAGTTCGGCCTCGGAGGAAACTCCGGCGATTCGCGGTCTTCCTCGGTCGCGTTATGGCCCCGTCGGAAGAATCTCCCTCTTCCCTTCGGGGATTATATATCCCGTCCGGTTGCCAGCGACCGGGATTTCGCTCCCGGCGTTCTCCCTTACTTAGGCCGGCGACGAACTCCGGGATAACACCCCTTCCTCTGAGAGATCCGAGAGTCCGAGCCCCTTACATCGATTGCCCCATTTCTCGCTGAGTGGAATCACCGGACGAGGCGTTCTCGAAGGCTTCCGAAATCTCGTATCGAGTCCTGCTCGAAAGCTCGGTTTGGATTCTACCCGACGTCCGGCTGAAATTTTTTTTTTCCCACGGCGGAAGAGATGAATCGGGAAAGGACCGAGCTCTCACATCGTCCGATTTGAGCGTTCCGTTGCTAAAGGATATCGTTTCTCTTTCTTTTTCTCGTTTTTTACGAGGGAAACGCACGCCAACTCGGCCCGTCGTTTACGACGGGCGGATTTAGCAGCGTGGGCAGGCATAAAGGAGAATCCGCTCGGCGATTCAGCCATCCTCGTAATACGACTGAGCTTTTTATTTTAGAACCGACTCCGAGCTTTCCCTCCCCGCTGTCTCCCTCCGCGAATCAAAGACGAGTCTTTGCGAGGACATCGTTTAATCCGAAAAAGAGTGCCTCCCCCCAACCGTCCTCCGTTCCAAGGATCTCGAGCCAGGAACCTCCTCGACGCGGACCCGGAAGAATTTTTACGGGAAATCCGCCGCTCGGCGGAAAAATCCGCGATGCGGATTCGAGCTGACCGCGGTAATTGGTAATTCGGGCGAAACCGTATCGAGACAAACTAATGTGGATAATTCCTATGTCGAGAACCGATTTGCGTGCGGTGGGATTCATGCGGTAATAGGAAATAATTGCATCGACTGGGCATGCTTTCACGTTCCTTCTTTTAATTAATTCCTCAGGAGACTCGAGCGGATGCGGAATCACGGACGAGGTGGTCCAATGGATGGACAGGATCCAGAATTCCGCGGAAGCGGAGTCGCCGGTGCCTCCTGGGAAACCTCGGGAAGGAGGAAAGCCAAAAGTCGAGCCCTGGAACGGAGACCCGGAGAGTCCTGGTCACAAGTACACGAGAGAGGCCAACGAGCCTGTACACCGCAGGTCCCGAAGAGCCACCAGGCCGAAGGAGGACAACAAGAACACGTGTTCTCTCTTCATCCAAACGGATCCCCTGATCTGGAGGCACATCTCCAAGCAGGTAGAGGAACATCTCCTGCCGGTGTTTCCCCCCGACTCGATTTGCAATAAGCTCGCGTCTCGTCCTCCTCCAAAATATGACCGATCGTATATCGCAAATGCAAATTGGCCTTTTAAATCCAAAACGTAAAAGGACGGCCCAGACGTCGCGGAATTGCATCCCGCGTCGGCGGGGGAAATAAAGTCGATGTAAAGAGAGAGAAAAAGAGCATATACTCGGGGGCCTCGAATAGAGCTTTATGGCCGCGTTTCACGAGCTTCGCATGGTCGGCAAATAGTCGAAACGCCGAAGCTCCTCCATGCAGCTCCCCATTGGTTCCAGACTTACCGTTCGCCTTGAATCGATGAGTCCCATTGTAAGCGGCGACGTGGTCCCGAAACTGGATCGACGATATCGTCTGGATCGTCCTGGCGATCGGTCCCAGAGATCCGAACTCGCGCCCTTGCTCTTTCTCCTGGAAGACAACGAGCCATTATCCGATCGTTTGTTTCAGCTGCATCAAGACGCGGAAAGGACGAGGGAGGAGATTCTATCGCTGATCGCGCACCACGTCACTGCCGTCAACTACATCTACAGGGATACAAGATTCGACGGTAGAATCGAGCACAGGAACATCAAGTTCGAGGTCCAGAGGATAAAGGTCGGACCTCCGAGATCCCGAGGGTATCTCCTCGCTCGCGGATTTCACTGGTGTTACTCATGCGTAGTGTTTTACTTTAGGCTCTGAAAAATTGACCCGGGTATATTTTTCCAGCTTTGACTACGTTATCCGCGGAGATATAAACCCTGAAAAACGCGCGAAAGTAAATAGGTCAGTTTAATCGCTTTAAGCCCCTAGGGTTTGAACCGCATTTTTGACGAGTTAACCGAGGTTTTAGCTGACTAGTCCCCATAACATAGAACTCGAAAGATACCACCTCGGTCCCAGCGGCGCTCTTCTGTAGGATCACGGAATTGACTACGACCTTTGATACCACGCGGCATTGTACTGCACTGCTTAATAATCGCTTTGACGATACCTTTCGCGGAGTTAAACGCGACACATCTGTGGGTACGAGCGGAGACGGATTTATAGTTTCCTCGTAACCTTATAGCCAGAGAAACGGCACGCGCAACGACCTCCTTGGTTACCTCGACTCCTTCTAATTGTAGATCGACGATGACACGGCTTGCACTCAACCGCAAACCTATGGCGGGGACCCGAATCCATTTTGCATGGAAAACATCGATGTCAGCAACTTCTTGAACCTGCACTCGCTGGGCAACCACGAGGACTTTTGCCTCGCCTATGTCTTTACCTACAGGTGGGAGAAATAACCGAAAATTCCCCAATCGAATCCTGGACGCTCAATATTTTTTCTCCTCGATGCAGAGACTTCACCGGAGGAACTCTAGGCCTCGCTTGGGTGGCTTCTGCTTCCGGGGCATCCGGAGGCATTTGCGAAAAATACAAGACCTACACCGAGACCATAGCCGGGATGTATCAATCCACTAAAAGGTCCCTCAACACGGGAATCATCACCTTTGTCAATTACAACAGTCGAGTACCTCCCAAAGTGTCGCAACTGACTCTGGCCCACGAGATCGGTCACAATTTCGGGTCGCCGGTAAGATGAAGTTCAAAGAGGTCCTGATAAATTCAAGGAAGCTGTCCGTCATTGAACTAATCCACGTTACGGTTAGATCCTCCATGACTGCGATGATTGAACGATATCGACCTTGATCTTTTTTTTAGCACGACTTCCCACCGGAATGCAGACCGGGCGGTTTGCACGGAAATTACATAATGTTCGCATCAGCTACCAGTGGCGATAGACCCAATAATAGCAAATTTTCAAAGTGCAGCATCGGCAACATCAGCAATGTCCTAGACGCGATAGAAGATAACAAGAAGAGGAATTGTTTCACGGGTATGCTAGGGATAGGAATTTTTAAATAATTTCGACAGCTGCGCAACTTTTTGATTTTTCCCTCCGAGAGAGGGGTACTTAATCGTCAATTAATTGCAGCGTCCGCTGATGCATTTTGCGGGAACAAAATCGTCGAGGCAGGAGAGGAGTGCGACTGTGGATACGACGATGACGAGTGCGTGGACAAATGTTGCTATCCCCTGCAAGTGTCCGAACTGGACAAAATCAGAAACGATACTGCCAAAGGCTGCCATAGAAAAAATGGGACTCAGTGCAGGTACTTCTGCATCACCCAGATGAAAGGGATTGAATAATTAATTTTTTTTTTATGGAGGATAGCAATTAATCATTCCCTTTTAACTTTCAGCCCGAGTCAAGGGCCTTGCTGTTCGAGCGAAACCTGCCAATTTGTTCCACTATCGCATAACGTCCAATGCAAAGCTGAGTCCGATTGTAGCTACAATTCAACGTGTAACGGCAGATCTTCCGAATGTCCTGCCCCACTGCCTAGAGCGAATAAGACTAGATGTAACGAGGGAACTCAGGTACGTGCCCATTTTCCTAGCGCACTTAACGAACAAGATTAATCCGAGCATAGATGTTCTAAATTATCGACATTGTTTTCCGCAGCTTTGCATTAACGGCGAGTGCACAGGATCCATTTGTCTTGAGTGGAACTTAACGGAGTGTCTTCTGACTAGCAGTATAATACCGAATATCGACAAGCGTAAGCTTTGCGAATTGGCATGCCAAAATGGTACCGACACGTCTACTTGTCGCAGCACTAGTGAATTTGCCAGTGCCGTCGGGCTACCGGAAGGTGGAATCAGTCTCAGACCGGGCTCTCCTTGTGACAATTTTCAGGTAATGAAATATTCCAAGTTTCCCGATACACCTCTTGCCGACCCTGGTGGCAGTGCTCTGAGATATGTTTTCGTTATTTGATTAAAGGGATATTGCGACGTGTTCCTTAAATGTAGAGCGGTCGACGCCGAAGGGCCTCTTGCCAGGTTGAAGAATCTCCTCTTCAATAAGGCAACTCTGCAGACGGTCGCCCAGTGGGTCACGGTAAGAGCAATTCGATCGAGAGAAGTCATGGCCCCGATACATCGAACAAGCCGGCATTTATTTCCGTTCGCTTCGCAGGAGTTCTGGTGGGCGGTTCTACTGATGGGCATAGCCTTTATCATTTTCATGGGCTTGTTTATCAAGTGCTGCGCCGTGCACACACCTTCTAGCAATCCTAAGAAGCCTCCCGCCAGACGAATCAGTGACACCTTAAGGAGGCCGATGAATACCCTTAGAAGAATGGTAAGAAAATGTCTTCGGAATTTAATTTTTTTTTTTTTTTAATTAAAAATATCACGTAAAAATCGGATTCATAATAGCAATAACGTTCCTTTTAGCGGCATCCCCACGGAGTCCCTGGTCCTGGCCCAAGAAGTATACCACCGAGACAAGGACAAGGAGCTCACGGTTCCCGAGGACCATCTCACGGATACGGAGAAGGCAGAGGTGCTCAGTATTATCCTAAAGGTATCGTTGGTGTACCCCTTTTTGTTTCGCCGCCGGTTATCGATCGGGTCTGCCCAAATACGCCAAAAATGTACAACATGCAATACTATTTAAAACCGCTCAAATATTTCTACACATTAATAGGGGAACGTATTAATTCTTGCCTAAGAAAAATTCTTATCTAATCACCCTGCAGGCTCGATCGAAGCCCTTATTGTAATGCCCCTTTACGCGTAACCCGCAACTACATCAGTGTTTTCTCCTGTTTGCATCTTCCTTGACGTTCCTTGATTGATGCGCCTCACCTAATCGAACTATCGTTCTATGAGCTGCAGAGGTGAGCTGGAGCTTACAGTACTCATCCGTCAGGGGCAAATTCACGAATACATTTTACCCGAATTGATTAAGACAGCAAGGCGATCGCGCAATCTCGAGTTCCTGAATTTGCTCCTGCCTTCTTTAAGGCAATCCGTGCCAAAGACGACTATTTGTCACAACGCTTTTTAACATAATTTTCCGCCTGCACCTTTCCCTCTCTCGCAATGCGCCGAATGTACCCGAGCACTGCTTTCTATATTTCGTTCTTCTCAGTTATTCGTCACCGTTCTATCTTTGCTTCCGCCAGAGTTGCTTGTTCGACTCTTATTTCCCGCCTTTGCCCGTGGGTGTATCTCGTTCCGTTCTATCGATTATAAATTTTGTCTACGTTGGCATGCCCGACACTTGTCTCCACCGATTTCGTTGATGCAGAATGTCTCTCTAAATTTTAACCAGGCTACCGCTCGGTTCCCACAGCTAGTGCGCCACCCGGCAGCTCCTCAGCCAACTACGGTAGGTCCAACCATCCCGAACTGTACGCCGGGGCCTATTCGGGCTCCGGGGGAGCCGGCAGGAGTGCAGCCTACGAGATGAGACACCACGACAAGGTGTGACCATCCTAGAAGAGCACCCTCGGGGATGAGCGAGCTCGGTGCGCCCTGCATCGCCCCGAACATCGCCCACCACCAGCGAGGACGGGTCCTCCCGTGAACGCCGAATACGTTCCTCCTGACTCGCAAGGCGGACGAGAACGGTCCTGAGGAAACCTCGAGGTCGACGTCCTCGGGATGGGGTCGCTCGACGGAACCCTTTTCGAGTCCACCCTAAGCGAGAACTTCGTCTCGGATTCCCTAGGAACGGCCGAAGGAGAGGAAGGAGTGGACGATGGTACTCGAGGCTTGGGATTTCGTGGGACGAATTCGAAGCTAGGGACTCGAGACCTCTCCCTCCGTGGGCGCGAGTTTGCCGTAACAAAGATGATTTCGGAATTGCGAGTCCGTATTGGGAAATGATCTCGGACTCGGCCGCGTAAGGAAACCTCGGGAGTGTGATGGACGTCCTGTCGGATGTTTTTTTTTTTTTTTTCTCTAATTGTCCCGAGAATCGCGGAGCCGAGCCGAAGAGCCCAGCGAAGCTTCGAGTCTGCCGTAACGGAGTATCTTTCGAACGAGCGACGTCTTTCGGATTGTTTCTCTTTTCTTTTTTTTTTTTTATTACGAAGGGAACGACCGTTGTAGAACGTTACGTTGGACCTGACGTTCGCGTAGAATGCCGGGAGAAGTACGGGAGGAAGATGAGAGTCAAGGGAATCTTAATATTTGGAACCCTCGCGGTTGCTTTTTTTCGTGACGTGCGATAACAGCCAAATCGCCCGTCGCCAAACTACGCGACCGGAGCTGGAACGAATTTAGTTAAATGATTTTATCCTCTTTTGCGACGTACGAGAGATCTTGTCGAGGAATCAATAAAACGGGATCAATCCGTATGGCAGACTCGATTCCGCGCCGTACCTTTTCAAGGAACTAGCGTTCAGCATTACCAAACCATCAAGGGTCATTACTTGATCTCTGTACCAGTATAGTATATTAATTACCGGTAATGATTAATTATTCCTATTAATTATACGCAGTTCTTATAATCAATACGAATAATTAATTCGTTTTACGCTGATTGTCATTAGCCAATTGACGCGAGCAAAGTTGATAAGCGAACAAAAAGAAGGGAAAGAACATTTTATAGTGATACGTCATTATGATTCTATTGATCATTATTATTATTGATATTATTATGGATGATATTATTACTATTATTGATTAGTTAAAATATTGTCGTTTACAGCCGAATGGGCGAAAGTCATAGCGAGAAGTGTTTTCCACTTTCCAAGATATTTGTTTATAGTAAGCTCTTAAGATTAACGAGGACAACCGGGACCGATTTAGGCCGGGATGTATGTACATATTAATATTACAATTAATGCGTATGCGTTCACCCGCTCGGCGGTTTTCGCCGGCACGTAGATGACGTTCTGATTTTCTCTCCTTTGGCTGGTCACTTACCGCGAGTGTTGTAAATTATATTTAAATAGCGTTTTTAATTGTCTGCGATCGCGGAGGGCCGTACCGTAAGAGCACCTCTTCGGGTGCACGGCGGACCAAAGAAAGGCCCTTTCATTCGGACGTGAAGAGCCCGCCTTATTCCTAGGGTCGTTACGACTCGCACGACCGGCCCGTCGAAATTATTTTCCGTCGACGTTAAAAGTCGCGCGAAATCCTTTCCGAACGTTGTAACACCGAGCAGCATCCTTTCGAATCAAAGGCTGATTAAATTAACTTATTTAAGTATTTTTTATTATACGCTGCATCACGCGTCAGCTGCCATTAGCGGAACTTTTTTTCTTTTTTTTCTTTTTTTCTTAATCTTCCCGAGAGCCTTCTTCCTTTCGTTGTCGAACGATAAGACGGTCTCTTTTGGACGACGCGCGGTTAGGGCAGATCGAGTCTTAGCTTCCGTTTTTAACGAGGGGAACCTCTTTTATTACAACTTTTTATATCTATCGTTTCTTGTAGCCCTCCGTCTACGGTATCGTTCTCGTGAAACGCACTCTCGTCCTGACGATGTTTTCCTTAATGTATTCTTTTCTTTTTCCTCATTTCGAACGTCCGACGATGTTCCCAACATTAATTCCAAGCACAAGGCAGACGGACCGACTGCGTTAGGTGCGAAATACTATTTTTCTACGAGCTTGAGGGAACGCGTATTTTAGACATCAATGTGCAAGATTCCGATCCTATACGTAGCGATCGCATGCGAAACTCTACTGGCCGGCGATGTTCACGTATCGAATATTATATTGCGAGAGAGATGACACGTTGATTAACGAGAGAAAGAGATGCAGATATTCTGTATTTTATTATCAGGACCTCGAACTCGGAGCTAGGTGAATTACTTTTTAAATAAGACGAGCAGGTACCGCGCAATCTTCGAGGTCGATTCAAACAGTGTTTTACCCAGCTCTGCTCGGAATCATAGAGTATTTCTTATAGTATTATTCTAAAAAAAAAAAGTAAATAAAAAAAATAAAAATGGCCAAGAGTTTTCACATTCGTGTTATGTTAAATAATAAGAGAATGTGTCTTTTTTTTTTATTCGGAATTACTTTGTACATCTCTTCTCATCCATCGCATACCGATTTTTCCGATATGACAGGAAGTCTTCTTACTATCGAGGTGCGAATCTAATCATGGATGCATTGACATTAATTTCATATACCAGTTTACCCTGAAAATGGGGGGAGTAAAGGGGCATCGGGATTCGCGAGAGGAAGAGCCACCCGAGTTGCTGTAATCTGAGTTATCTTTTTGCGAGAGAGTCGTGTGGAAATGTACAATATAATGCAATGTGATTATTAAAAACGGATTGCGTGGTATATCAGACATGTAAGAGAGAAAGAGTGGGAGAGCACGTGGGAAGAAAGAAAGCACCTGTGTAAATATATTAATACTATACATGAACGATATAATTATAAACTGAAACAAATGGTAAAGCGAATAAAAAATACTTGTTTTTATATCAGATCTGTATTATAGGGAAATATTATTCTGTATTTTGTATCTCGGGACGGAATCGGTAAATTCGGCGTGTATGTTAAAAAGCGCGCAAATGCCACCGTGATTTTAAAAATCCACAGCTAAGGGGAGTTTTATCGGAACAGGTATTTCAATGAGGATAGTATTTACGAACTGCGCTGCGTGAATTTTCAAGTTCTTGTATTAGAACAAGAGAGCGCTTGGCCCCATTTATAGTTACACGACCTTTCTTTTCCTTTTTCGTTTACACCTTAACTGAATCGACGTAACGAAGCGATCTTCTTGAGACGCTCGTTCCTTTTTTATTTTTATTATTTTTTTTTTTTTAACACTATTAACTAAGTCTCAATTGTATCTAACCATTACTATTCAGGATATAGATCACGCATGTCAACCATCTTTCACTGCCACTGTGTTCGATCAATACATTGTTGTCAATAAGTCAATAATCTGCTTTCGAATCGAATATATCCTTATGTACGAATAATATCAGCACATATTATCATCGCTTCCAACTCACTGCCACTCGATTCGAATAGCCGTGGTAGTTTTTTTGTTTCCTCAGGAAGTCGAGTTAACGAGTGATTTTCAGACCCTTAACACCTCGAGGTGGGCGTCGAAAAAAAGATCGCTTCGATCAACCGTCCGTCCCGAAAGGACTTAGAGGATCCAGTAAAAATTATCTACCCCGACTAGAATGGGGCCAAACTCTCGTTAATTAGTCGAATAAATCGCTTGCGTGCGTGACTTGTAAAGACGAAGTTTCCCTCATGATTTGCTGCCAGGCTTCTACTATCCTTACGCGCTTAGGCTTCGTTTCCGTTTCTCGTAGTAACGCGGTGCACTATATACTCTATCACTTGTACATAATGTTAGAAAAGAAGAGGAAAAGAAAAAAAATTAAGAATTATATTTTTTCTATCGATCCAAAAGAACGAGGTGACTTATCAACGTCGTGCATCTGGATTTCATTGACTTTATTTCTCTCTCTCTCTCTCTCTCAGCTAATCATACCACCCGCGTACTACGTATATACCGATTAAATTCGCAAAGGCGAATTACCATTTCTTTCCGCAGAAAGTTGCTTGGTTATCACGAACCACCAAGTGGCCTTTGCTTATCTCGGACCCCAACCTGTCGTTTAAATGAACCCTTAACGATACGTCCGCCTGCGACGTTGATTCATGATTTCAAGTTTAACCAAGCATGATACTGACCAATTGCCTGACCGTAGCTTAAGATAACTACTTTCTCTCTTTTTCCTCCAAAAAAAAATGTCCAAAAGGACGTGGCGTGTTTTAAGGAATATTATAAATAACAGAATATGATTGTGAATAATTCCTGTGTTACGTTAATGTGATTAAAGAAAAGGACATTGTAAAGAACTAAATAAAGCATACATTTTACATTTACGTTGAGAGAAGCCCTTTGACGCCTTTCGTTCCCCCTTCCTTTTTTTTTTTCTGGAAATTTCTTTATTTCTTTTATAAACTATTATAAAATAGGTACAATGTACAATAAAAAGTGGAGATAAAACGAGGGTTTCTCAATGGTTAGCATGCGCTGTGAATATCATACGAAATACACGCATTTGTACATCGCGTACCTTCTACGGAGGGTGCAGTTAAGGTCTACTAAATGAAACTTCTCTTTAGCACGCTTTTAAATAGAATACTGAAATAAAACAGGCTGCTACTACTGAAACACTGTCCTCCGAGACGCGGTGTCCGAAAATCATGGATCGCAACCGTCTCGCGTTTCAACGAAGTACAAATTAGAATTGTTCTTGTAAACTTCCTCCCGCATTTTCCATCCCTTCGGAATAACATCCGAACGATATATTGCATACGTGCTACCTAATCTTGAATTAAACGCTTTGGCTCGTGCACTCTCTGAAATATTAGTCCCGTGTCAATGCATCGGTCCGCCCGGGTAGATATCCCTGACAAAGGGGCATAAACTACTTGCGACAAACACCACTGACAACGGTAAAAAAAATTACACGTAGAGTCAAGAAATACTTCGGGCAAAAGTTACTCCGCGTACCGCTCCAACCAACTTCGGTATAAAACATTTACCTGCCAACCTCGCCATTATTACCATTAGAAGTCGTGTTTGTTGGGATCGCTTTTGATCCGGTACACCCGAGAGCGACATCAAGAAATGTATAATTGCAAGTGTACAAATTCGCAGTCTTTCGAAATTGATTTTTGACCGAGAAGGCTCTGGTGCATATAAACCTCTCAAGAGCACTTCAATTACGGACTCGATCCATTACAGCTTGAGTGCTTCATCCTACCGAGTATCCTGACACGCAAGAAAAATTGTTTTACGGCTGAGAGTGTTCCAATTTATAAACGTCATGATACGCGTTGCGAATCAGCGCGTAGGGGAAGCAGCTCTCGAGCAAGTCCATCGTCAAGAACGGAGACTCTTGGACGATTTGATCCAACAGAAGGTACACTGACTCCCTATTCTTGGTGGTCTCTTTGTCGGCCTCTTGCCCCAGTCTCAACAAACTGGAAGAGGCTAATGCCAAGAATTCTTTCATTCTGTCCTCGATGTCGTTCTGCCCGCAGATCGTGAACAGTGCGCCGAATATATTGTTGATGGCCGTGGCCATGCAGTGAATATTGTTGGAGTGCCCTTCCAGCGAAGCTCGGTAGAACGAATTCTCGTTGCGAGCCAATTTTGGTATAGAAACGGCCACGAAGACCATCAGCAAGCAGACGAGCAAGTGCTCGTCTTCGTCCACTTCGGCCTTCTGGCTTTTCAGAGCTGCCGTCAAAGTTGGGTCCACCTTGCAGGTCAGCCCAGCCGCGGAAGTCATCTCCGAGACGACTCTCATCGGATCACCGGAAGGCAAGTGATGCCTGAAGTCCAGAATGGAGCTCAAAAGGAAGGGTATTCTCTCCTCGAGGACGTCCACGAGAGCCGACTGAGCCAGTTGTCGGAAGCTCAAGATGACTCCGATGATCGTCACTCTCTGGAGAACGTTGTCCACGTGCTGGAGCCTTTTAAATTGTTCCTTCATCACTTCCGGCTTGTCGAAGTTCGTCCTCAAAGCCACCAGGACGTCCTTGTTGCTGGTGACCAACTTCTTCAGCTCCTGCACCTGGCTGGCGATGTGCCACATCAAAGTCTCGTTGAGCATCTTCATTCCGTAAGGTCCGATCAACTCGGCCAGCGCTCTCAGCTCGTTGATGTCGGAGAACTCTTCGGCATTGAAGGGTATAGCTCCCTCCACGGAGAGGCTGACGAATGCTCTTTGATTCCCCGAGTAACAGATATTGCCCGCGCTGACTCTTCTCAGCAGGACTTCGGAGTACCACTGAGTGTAGAGCGCCGCGATGGTCTTGTCTCCGTGGCTGTCGAGAGCTTGAGTTTGCTGCAGCAAAGCGTTGTTGAAGACCCGAGTGATATCGATGTGAACGTAATTTTCTACGGTTTGCAGGACGTTCATGTACGCCCTGACGCTGACGAAGAGCTCCGATGGCTTTGCTATTTCGCTGGTATCCGCATTGTACATGACCATGCCTACCAAGGCCCTGGCGAATCTGGTCTCTAGATGTTGATGCAGGTACTCCCTGGGAGCGAATGTGTATTCCCAGACGTTGATGGTCGGACAATAGTTGATGGCGTAGCACAGCTCCGTCAAGGCCATGTGGAGTTTGTCCATCGTGGTCAGTTCTTCCCTGGTCTTCCTGGAGCTCTCGCTCCCAGGCTTGTGGATCTCGTACGTGTTCTTCTTGTTCTTGTCCTTCTTCTTCCGGTTAACTACTTGCGAGATTAACAAAGCGCAATGCTTCGGAAGGAGCTTGTCGCTCATATTGCACTGTTCGTCACAGATCGTGGTGATGATGTTCTTCGCTTCTTTGGCCATCTCGTCGAGGAACATGTTGACCACGGAGAGGCTCCTTTCTCGAATGTGATGACGTTCTTCGGGACAGAGCTCGTGGGTGCAGCTTTGAAAGTGGCTACATATCAGAGGGAATGCTACGATATAACGATTCTGCGCGGGGAACTCCAAGCACATGTGAAATTGATCCTCGAAAATCTTGCTGTAGAAACAGAAGATCGACAAGTCGGACGTCTCGACGAGCATTTCGTCTAAATTGTCTACCATCTTGGTATGAAAAACCACCGTGTCCATAAACGAAGCGAGCTCTCTGTTATCGGCAAGATTCATGTTACATTTACTAATCGACATGTAGGCTTGCAATCTGAACCAATCTAGCCTGAAGGCGCGGAAGTCGAACAGCTCGTTTTCCTCCACTTGTTTGACGGTCAGACCGGCAACGGTTGAACACAAGTCACTCAATATTGCACCCTCGTCTTCGGGACACACGGGGAGATTCTGTATCATTTGATGAAGAGCCGGGGCGTCGAATCCTGATAGGAATTGAACGTAATACCTCTGAAGAACTTGGGAATATTTCCTAACGAGAGCTCTTAGCTCTTCGCAGTGGAACAATAATTCTGGCAATTGCCTATCGACGAGATCTTCGGCTCCTCGCCCTTTGCCCTTACCCTGGATCGGAGGATTTTCTCCATGCCTCAATAGCCAAAGAACTTCGTCTCTTGCATGAGAAAGTCCCATAAGAACCAGTAACGCTTTTGGACCCAAAAGACCTGGCTGGTCCGTCAAGATCAAGCCCAGTTCCTTCAATGCGGTTCTCAGAAACTTTCGTCGCTCTCTGTGCCTGTATCCTGCTTTCTGCGTTGCCTGATTATAGCACTCTTTTACTTCGGACACTCTCTTGCTGTATCCCTTCATACTTTCGAAGAATCCTTGAATATACTGATGAATGTAAATGAACTCGTCCCTGAATAGAGCCAAGACCCACCCAGATTCCAGTGCCGTTGTCCAGAGCTTATTCGGTTGTTCCTGACCGAGAAAGGTATGACAGAGAGTGAAGCCTAAAATAACCCATCTCTCGATTCTATCTAAACTAAGCGTTTCGCAGGACATGGTATCGGTTGCGGCAGCTTTCAATATTTGCCCTGGACTCCCGACCAAGCTGAGTTTTTGATCCGCTCTCCATGTGTCCGCGGACAAGTTCCTCCCAGGATAAATCGGCCACAGAGATGTTAAAGCGTTTTTCAACAACTTTGAGTGAGGAACGAATTCCTCCGATAATTTTTTCAAAGGTACGTCGTAATCCATAATCATCTGACCGAGTCGTGGGAAACTCGGATCGGACTGACTGTGCACCATTTCGTGAGCGGCATTGAAAAGACCAAGGACGGCTTTGCGATCTTCCACACGAGATAATAATATCATTAAACTTACGTACGTCACGACGAGATCTAAATATCCTTTAGTTAAATCGAAATTAATCGTGATATCCATGTGCACGCCGCAAGCATCCATAGTCGTCAATAGCTCGCACACGTTGTCTTTAAAGTCTAACAGATCGACAAATGTGTAATAGTACAAGGACAAAGATTTAATGATCTCGTTCCGAAGATTGGTAATCGTTTGAAGTCCCTTAATGTCTATGTTGGGGAACTTTCGTACGATCGATTTAATGGAAGACTCTAAGGTCTTGTCCGAGAGAAACGCAGGCTTCGATTTGGCATCTCCGCAAGCCTTTTTGATGTTGTAAATTCGAGTTAACATACCGATCCCTCGGTCATTCAAAATTGTCAGCTTCTCCGCCAACTTTTGTTGGCTCGGTACAATTGGACGTGCCATGGTCACGGTGTACGATCCGTATAACACCTCGTAGTACTTATACTCTATCCAACTGCCATAACCAGACGATTCTATGGTTTCCTGCGTTTATAGATGACAGCAGACCCCACCCTGGGGTGTCTGGAGCAGAACGCTCTAATTTTCGTACCCCTGCTACCTGCGACAGAGTATCCTTAATAATTTACACCTGAACTTTACCGAAACGATCATTTAACCTGCTCTCAGCGATACTAACCTCGTCTCTCAAATCATGATTAATTTTCAGGAAATATTGACATCATAAATACAACGTCGCTGTAAGTACTCCAAAGCTTGACCGACGTGAAACATCGATAACTAAACGACGAGGATGGCTAATCTACAGAGTTTTCAAGCGGGTGGAATCATTGCACAAGTGGCGGTCTCTACTCCGCCGGGAAGTACTATCTCCATAGACGCACATAACCTATGACTATTCCATGCTCCCGAGAAATCAGTTCACTAACTTATCGACGGCCCCCCGACTTACCATCAATTTACGAAGTTTCAATCCTTTTCGTCTCATTAAATTATACTATGCAGTTTTGATCGAAAGAACCGCACACTCATACCGTAAATAACGACGTTTATACGGTTTTTAACGTTCTCTTAGTAAAGGAAAAATTCCGACGAGGACGCGAGTCGTAACTGCTTTAGTTGCACCAAGCTTAGACGAAGCAGTTCCGTAACGTCCGGTAGGACAAATTATTTCTGCATGACGCCGAGGCCGTAATTACAAAGATAAGCGTATGTGGGAATCTTTTGTACGAGCGCGGTCGTTCCTATGCCGGAATACTCGACGATTGTTTCTCGAAGTGTTTCAGGCCCTGATATACGACAATTAGGATTCCTCCGAAAACTACGACATTTATCTTTCAATGCCAATAACGTTCTCGGGCGCGTCTGCGAAGTCAGCATCGCACCGCTAGAATGAGTTGCATGGGAGACGTATCTAACTGCTCTCTTTTGCAGGCCGTGAAAAATAACGATTGCCGTATCCGTACCGATTTTATCTTAAGTGTGGCGATGCGTGTAACACATGTCCATCTACATTCCGCACGCCTTGATAAACGCGGTGACTCATTCATGAGACTAGTCTCGGGGAAGCCACGTCGCGTTACTCAACGGGTAGATAAATGAAGTAACCAACAGGTAGGTGCGTCAAAAAGGTAGTCAATCGTGCCGACATTGTATGTAATTTTGGGCCCCGATTGACCCTGATCTATTAATAATCGGAATTTCGACGTAGTCGTGATCGACCTTGAACGCATTGGGGAGCGCTTCCGACGAGCGGCACGCATAGGAGAAAAGTCTGCAAGAGACGATCACTTAAAATGTTAATATCGTTAATAAACTCGAATCTTTTGTTCTGCCTAGGCAAGGTCGACCGCTACAGAGACCCGGAGTTGTCGGAGCAGACATCCTCGTCATCTACCGACAATATCTCGTTATCCATCCTTCAGATAAACCGCGTCCACTTTCGAGATTTCGCCCCTGGTTATGTGCGCCCAGAATTCGTCCGTACCTTTGATTAGGAGGAACTGATCTTTCAAGTGGCTACGTGACAATTATAGGACTCTAGTATATATGCTTTTATCTTGGAATTCACTATCGATTGACGTCGATCGTACGATCCCGATTAGGATTATTCCATCTGCGGATAATTGGGTGAACATTCCCGTGGGAACAAAGTACGAATTTTAGAGCGCAAGCTTAGGTATCGGTGTATTATAATTTATGTTAACGCGTTCGTAAGAGTGAAATGCATTACGACTCATTGATGCAGAGATATTGGAATATTCCTTCGGAAAAAATACAATGATTCACGGAAAAATTAATATTTTCCATAGTCATCGTGACTTATCTTTCTCTTAGAGTTCACGCATAACCGCAAGCTCATGTAAATTACTAAATAATCTCGGAAACGGTTACACCGAGCGACGGTCGAGGGGTTATTATCACGGAGTTCCTTATCCAACGCTCTTTGAAATATTTCTTTTAAAAACATTTGTCTAAACTTTGAATGCAGGAACGTTCATGACTTTATACATTGGAAGCTCGATTCGCGGCTTTTGCTATTCTTTTCTCGGAAAACAAATTACCGTTGCGCTGGTGGAGGATTAAAGGATCTAACGTGTAATTTGCGAGCGCGAATAATTCATTCGCAGAAGCTCAATCGCCGTGATAAATAAATGCTGAGTACAATGAAAATGATCCGAAGTAGTGACGTTATAGTTATGAGAGCGTCCCTCTTCGTCGTCTAGAATTTCCTACGGAATTAAACGTTAGAATGGCTCATGCGATTATTCGTATATCCGCCATAAACAATCTCTTCTCCATTAAAAATTACAACTTCATGCCTCGAAATTTTTAACAACTACTTTGCGTCGTTAAGAAGGAAGATTGCAACTTCATGACCTATTGTTTTACACGGGGTCATTTTACGTAATAACTATACACGACGCGTAAAACTTCTTTGGGTGAAACTCGTTTGGAAGAATATGCGCAGCGATTTTAATACGCTTCACCGCGTCGGGCAGTCGGAGCCGAAAACGAGAAGTGAATAGCAAAAGGTCGGGAATGAAATTACGAGCAATTTGTTCGATGTCATCTCGATAGATGCGTTCAGAGACGTACACGAAATTAAAAATTATAATGCAAACGGGTTTTCCGCCGCTCGGTAGTAGACCGATATCATGTAATTATAAGTTTCGCTGATAAGCCACGTGATGTTCACATTATAAAATCCTGACGTTCCTAGAAGGACAGGTTCGGCAGGAGTTAAAAGTATTCATGAAATTCACGGAAAAACAGGATCTCATCATCGAAAGCGTCGGTTTTATATCAATTCCATCGAGTGACGTCAATGGAACGTTATGTCACGATTCATCCTTAAGAGCGGACGAATACAGGTGTTTCTATCTTTAGAAAGAGGAAAGAGGATGAAATATTTCTCAAGGCGGAAACAAAGAAAGCGAAGGTCCATAAGGAGTCGCTTTACGGCAACATTCTCCCGCAACCGTCAGGACTACAAATTCGTGTTTCTTGTCAACGCGACCTTGCGGATCGCCACTTTAAAATTCGGTATCTCGACACGGGACCGGTCTGCAAGTGAAGCACACGGTGGCCCAAATATTTCGATAGACCTACGGCGAATTTATTTCCGATCAATAGCCATAGGCGATAAGTCATCCCGACGTTCACTGAAGAGATTATCACATTATCAGAGAACTCGCCCGTTGCGTGAGTAAGCGCAAACATCTCCCCGTTACGAAAACGTATTGCCAGTGAAACGTCGACGTTACTCACGACAGCACGCGTCGAAGGACCGATCGCGCATCGGTGTTTCGAGACCTCCGGAGTGGCGGCGCGCTCTCCTATTTATTTACCCATTTCTCGCAAAGTGAGCCCACGACCAAATGACTGTAATTGAATTTTCATAAAACCTCATCGCGGGTGAAATATGGCCGAACGAGCGGGACGTCCAACCCTAACCCGCGACTCAACGGACCGACTGTTGGCCTCGACAAAGTTTGAATAAGGATTCGCTCCGATTAAACTACCACCCCGAAGGACTCCGCAATCGTTGGAATTACAATCCCTCGTCGCAACTATCGCCGACAACGAGAACACCTTGACGGAATTCATCGATTACTCGAGATTAACGTTCATCAGTTTCAAAGAAGAGACCCTCGAATGCAGCCCAATTAATCCGCTGGCAATGACGAGCAGAAAGTATATTAATAAAAATGTCTCGCTCTCTCTAAGTAAATAATAAAACGCGATATGTCAAACAATAAACCTATCTGGGCGCGCAAGATAAAAGTATCTCACGGTACAGTAATTTACTTTTGCCGGGCCGTATAGGAAACATGCGGACTAGAAGGTCCCGCGGAAGACTTAGTTGATAAACAGGGAGTGTGAAAAAAAAAAAAAAGTGGGAAAATTTCCGCACCGCGGTCGACGCCTTTCGGTATCATTATTGCAGACTGGTGGGATTTGCTTTACCTCCGCGCGCGATTTGATTTATCGAAATGCGCGATAATGTCGAGAACAGGAGAGATCATAGTCTGCTATGCTTGGCAACAATTTACGCCGTTCACGCGGTACTCCTTCACGTTATCTTGCCTTCGCAAGTTCCGGTAACCAAGGTGTCGTTCGAGATGGACGTCGAGGGATTCGTCCCAAAATTCGGCGACCCAGGGGGAAGCGATGCCGGGCACCGGGATGAGTTCGTTGAAAGACCCCGCCGCACCGTCTATCACGAAAGGACGAACTTTTCGAACCTGGAAGGAGTGGTCCGCGTTGTTATCCCGGCAGCCACCGAACCAAGACTGTCTTTAAATCGGGTGAGACACGTTTACAATTTGACCTAGGCATTCCCTGGCGTAGGTCACGAAAAAGGAACCATTAATTGCTTTCGGCAAACGATCCGCGGTTGGACTGAAAACAAAATAAGAGTTTAACAGCGGTATCGGGTGTTTGTTTTGGAATCAAGGGAATCCTCTTGCAAAGTCGGGCCAAGGATAACGCTGGGAAACGTAATTTAGCCGACTTGGTCGACGAGCCGTAAAAATTAGGGCGCAACCATGAGTCGATTTTTTATCATAGCATTTACAAGTATTCATAGGTAATCGCTATCTCTTCCGACACTCTCGCAACACGACCTGTGGATTCGTTCTCGTCACAGGCGGGTGTTCTTATCGTGTATCTGGCGGTATTATCACGGTATGCGTTAGAAAGATTCGATAACGCGGATGATCGGCTTATCGTGAGCTCTTGTGCTCGTCGATAAATAGATAACTTCAGGAAAGGGACCTGTAAAATAATCGCATTCCGTGCCTGGTTACCGGTTCGCCCTTATCTCGGCGAAGGATGTTCCCGGAGCGTTGCCACGTAGGACATGCTTGGAAATGTACTTCACGTGCTTCTCGGTATCGGCCGAAGTGACCCGTCGATATCGATACGTAAAAAGTCGATACTTTGAAATATGTTATTCCAGAGACCGCGGGGAAGTATCGCGCTTTCCGCAGCCATGGAAACAGCGTTACCTATAGGCTTAATCAGGGTCGTTTCCTCGATGCGTCAGGGTCACCGTGCGTGCCGACCTGCAGTATAAATGTAATTAAATATCGATGAACTCGATGCAGTCGAGATTAAAAATGCATATCGCTTGCAGGCCGCTTCTCGTGACCCGAGGAAACCGCCCACCTGGCTTGGAAAGGATGTCGGGAAAGATGAACAGCTGACCAAAGAAGACGTCGAGCGACGGCGCTCCTACGTCGAAGCGAATCCTGCACACTCGTAAGTGAGCCGTGTAAGTCGAGTCGTTTTTAAAATTTGGAGGGCAGTTCATTTCCGATAATTCAACTTTCGTTTATGGAACGGCGTTCGAACTCCCCTCCATCGATGTTTAGTCAAATAAATCCAGAGCGTACCGTTTCCAGAGCCGGTCTTGCCGAGGATGCGAGGGGTAGGTCAGGGGCCGCTGCATCCCGACCACGTGACTCTCGTGACGTCTCGGAGTCTGGGGCAGTATTTCGGATTCTCGTTCCTCTTAGCTGTAAGAATTCGACGACGGATCGCGTGACGTTTACCACGGTATGTAGACGTCGTACGTTCAATTTCGTCATGTCGACCCAACTTGTTGACCTTTAACTATTTAACCGAGCGTCTACGTTTGTCAGTCTACTCTCGTTGCGTACGTGACCGTTCTCACAACTGGAATCATATTTCTGATATTCCATTCATTTTCCAGTTGACCGCTCGGCTTGCCTCGAATGAAACGAAAATCGCCGAAGCACGTATACGAGTCGCTGCAAAATCCAAATCTTCGCAATGGATAGTTATCGTGCACGTGAGTATGTTTACTGCTTCGGTACAAATTTTGCTCTTCAATTTATTTCTCCATCTTCGTTTATGCAAATCGAGCCGAATCCGCCGATGACCATTGTGACCCTTTTTTTTCGCAGTTCGTCGATGCCCGTAAGAACAAGTCATCGAACAAAGGACAACACTTGAGGTGTAAGGTTGTACATACTATTGAGCAAAGTCCAAATCGCATATTGTTGGACTTGAACTCTTCCGTTTCTGCCTGTGTAGTAGATATTAGACAAACCACGGCTATCGCGCACATGTGTCAGGTAGGAAACGTCGTTCTCCACGTTTATGATAAACCAACGATAAACTAATCAGAGAGTGACAGAAAAATATTTTATAGATCGCAGCCCAGAATTCATCGCCCCAGGCGGAACTACTGCAGAGTATCTTCTCCCAGGAGAGAGAATACTGTTCGACGTGTGCCTACGTTTATTTGTACTTCCATGGAAAAATTGTGGACGTAAATAACGTATCCTCCTCGAAACCTTCCAACGTCGATTTTGGAACAGGCCACAGTTCGGCAACCACTACCGCAAAAGGCATGAATCCCGCGGCTTGGGGAATTTTCTTAGGATGTTTAGTGTTTCTTTTAACGTTCACCGATCACGAGAAAACAAAGATCTCGTTGGATCAGTGTAAATCGAACTCTTGAAGTAAATTTTCTTCTTCTCGTTGTCGGTTATCCCTGCCCCGAGGATCGGCATATGTCTTTGACGACATGAGACGAGCCGTGGCAATTTATGGAAACAGTGAACTTTAAATACACGTATAATATTATCTCGGCATTGAAAAGTCTGCTAGAGAAAAAAAATTACATCAGTTTGTATTACGACAGGATTTCGAAATACATTTTTGGCATGACAGTTTGTAGGGAATGCCTTCAAAGTATTATGAGTTTCTTCTCAACCTGCGTGCATTTTGAGAAACGATTTCAAGTAGACGTACTATTTTAGGGTAATGTCGTTATTTATTTGAAATAAAGTGTTTCAAAGTATATCCTTTGCACGTATTATACTTCTCCCTTTAAATTAAGAAATAGTCAGTGAAGAAATTTTCGTCGGTACTATAGGTATGATAGTAGAATATGAACGGAGTAGGAAGCACTACCGCCAGATGGCGACCGAAAGAAATTCTTCATTCATATATACACACGCGAAAAATAGTAAATTCTTCGCGAGTACTCCAAATTCTTTTTAATAGTACCCGAAATAAACAGTTGTGATCGAATAGTTTAAAATTTGTCTATAATTTGTAGTACCATGAGTGGGACACTTCGTTCGGAGGTAACGTAATGCTAAAGTGTTGTCAAGAGATTTTTGAGGTTAAGCACTGGTGCTTGTAACGAATGAAAATGTATATTTGCAATACTTAATAAATTGGAACTTAACGAAAATGTGTAGGTCTTTATTTTTTTTAAATGGTTGTGTAAACGTTTAATGCAAAAATACTTACAGGTACTGCAAACTTTTAAAAAATTACATAGAACAAGAAAGAATACTTTTCAGGGAGACAAACATGTTTTAGAAGGTAATAGAGCATTTGCAACAATTTTAATTTGAATAATCTATTGACTTTCTTTGCATGTGAGTGCGATATTGAGTAAAAATTTGTGTATTTGAAATTAACGTTCAAATATATACTGTTTAGTGGTCAGGCAGAAAATAAACAGTGAATATGAAAAGTCCAAAAGTGTCACTGACGAAAAAACTATCAAAGAGGTAAGAATTAGATGTTTGGGTTTATTCTATAAAAATATCAGCGTATGCTTTATAATTTCAGTTAAATAATCATGCAAAAGCAGTTGAATACGAGATAAGGACTACAATAATTCAGGCAGTAGAAGTTTCACCTGGACGATTTGGTAATTTATTAAGCATTTAATCAGTTGTGTACATGTATGTTTTCCTTTTCTATAATTACGCTTATAGAAACGTTAACATTTACAGAAGCACGAATTACTCCAGATGTTTTAATCGACAATGCCGAACTTCCATTATCTATTGATAATAAACCAAAGAACACGGGATCAAAGAAATGTATGGATGTAAAAAAAAAGTAAATGAATTTTTAGAAAATTGAATTAATTAAAAAAAAATCTGTAGTTATTATTCAATATTAAATAATTGTAAATCGATTTAAAATAAATTGATATTATATCAGACACCTATATTATTTAAAATATGGCATTAATAGTGAGGTGAATTTCAAACCACGGGAAGTTTCAGCTCTATTGCTAGTATATAGCCATCCATGAATGGATTGTGCATCTGTGAGTTAGAATGCACATTTATGCTTGATCACCCTCAATGACACCTTCCACTCTCATCCTAAAAAATGTCAAATAATTATTTTCGGTACAGATCGAGTATTATTTAAATACTGCACAACTTACGATATATGGTCAGAAGTTCATCGCATGGTCAATGGAAAAGCATTTGAGGTAAATGCCATGAAATTTCGTGTTAGGAGAAAGGCAACAATTTCAATAGAAATTAATGTTAAATATAACACATTAATATCATGCTGGTGAGTACAAGCTGGATCAGTACATATACAATGCTTTCGGCGCAAATCTGTAGCAAACACTTAATTATTTTTTTTTAACCAATTACATGCAATAAAATTATTATTACGCGGTGGTATCGCCTCTTACGTGTAGAGGATGAAGTAAGCAAGCAATTAATAAAAAGTATGTGATAATAAAGATATACTAACACATGCTCGGGATGATTGCGAATTTGATCGATCAATTCAGTGGGTTTCAGCTCTCGTGTGCAAATACGATGAACAGCAACAAATAAGGGGAACTTGTCGGTCATGGCGCGGGTCTTCAACATCCCATAAACTTCATCAGCTGTCGCTGGACCTTGAAGTTTCTGACCAGCCAGGAGCTCATCCTCCAGTTCTTTGATTGACTACGCATAAGAATAACTGAGCGTGAAAAACAAATTTTTTTTTTGCAGAAAGTTCTTTCTTCAATATTCGTCTTACAATTCATATTTCGTATAGAGATGCGATACCTTATTAGTCTTCACAAATTGCTCGCAAACGCGACGATTTCTTCCACCGAAACAAGTGGTGATAAGGTCAGCGACTCCACAACTTTCGAAAAAGGTAGATAATTTCGAACCGCCATAAAAGGTGTCTACAAATTTGATCATTTCCATGAGACCCAGTCGAATTATGGCTGCCTTGGTATTGTCGCCTAAGCCCAGGCCATCTACGAAACCTGCCGCGCAAGCTACAATATTCTGGAAATAAAAATCGTGAATAAGGGTGGAGTAGAAATAAATATTATTTATGATCGGCGTTCATCTTGCCTTAAGAGCACCGCAAACTTCCACAGCTTCGGCGTCTTCTACAACGACGACCCTAAAATTGTCCGTCTGAGTGGCATCCCTCAGCAAGGGTGCCAAGCGCTTATCCTTGCATCCTGAAAAGTCAGAAAAATAAGGACTACGGTGTACATACCTTATGAGAGCATTAATTTTTTTTTTTAAATACCTATCGTGGTCTCGCAGAAATTTCCCTCGGCAACTTCGTTGGCCAAGTTTGCTCCCATCAATACGTAGCACTGAATCTTCAAGTGCTTCTCGATCACTTTGGAGATCAGGTCGACACCCCCACCTTCTGCTTGATCGAAGCCCTGCAATAAAGCCAACCTTACAAATAATTTTCTCATTGGGAAACGGTTCCAAAAAATTTGGCGATATTACCTTAATCAATGACAGTCCGACAGCTGTTGGTTTAATTTTTCCGAGTAACGTGGCACAGAGGGTTCTTATAAATTGGTGAGGAACGACGAATACGAGAATGTCGGCTTCCTTGGCAGCCTCCACCACGTCGGGAACAGCCACCTTAATAAATCAGGGCCATTTGGGGTATAAAACTGTACGAAAATATTTATTGACGTCGGAGAAAAGTATTGAAAATATTCTGTAATGTTGTAAATGCATTGGCATTGAGCCATGATTTTTGCGAAGGCCAAGTCTGGTCGTAGGATGCATTACACTTCCGCATACGTTTAATAAATCTTGTCACGCCGAGAGAAACGTAGCTTGCAATGAATTCCTTTGCATACATCACGCGCTTTGTGCACCACGCTAAAGTTCAGATATTAATATCGAACCCCATAAGCGCAGTCCTACTCGGATGGCCCGTTAAAAAATGTCTAGAATAACGTATCTATAGGTACACTTGTTGGGTAGATTGAGTCACCTCGGACTCTTATCACCAAATACTAAAAACGAAAATAGATGACACGTTTCTAGAGCGACTTTCGTCAGCTATTATCTAGGACATTCGATTCCCACAATTAATTATCAACGTTTACCATAATTCGAATAAGTGGATATGAAAAAAGGAATTCACGCGAACCTGTTAATTGAATTTAATAATTAGGTACACTTTGCTCGAGAGGAGGTTTGTTATGATTTTCCACTCTCTCGCTCGTGAAAACAAGGAAAATTACATTTCTAACTGATAGCTCCTGTCACGTGTAATCAGCAACGTTGTCCCGGTATTGCATATGATGTACAGAAGCTAAGAGATAAATGAATTCACGTACGATTGGTCGGACCGCTCCCACCGCTGGAACGATAATTCGAAAATGGAAACGTTACTGCAGTATATAAGAGTCTCTTCTCGACCTAGCGGCCATTGTACCGCAGAGTGGTAAATAAGTCGCTTCGAAGAAGTTGCATCGCAGTTCATCAATTATTTCATCATCAAGATGAGGCTGAATTCCGTAGTTCCGAATTTCACGGCGGATACGACCCAAGGGCCGATTGATTTTTACAAGTGGCAGGGTGATTCGTAAGTGAACACATGTAAATCCTTAAAAGGGAAGGGCCGTGTCGTCACGAACCAAGTCGGGTACCTTATACCCTGTAATTGCCCTTAATTTTAGCCCGTGTTTACGCTTTAATTTTACCACAACCTTGCGCGAACCGCTCCGACCAAAAAGGAGATTGGTGAACGTTGACGGACACCTGCCGGTGAACCTTGACATGTTTGGAAGTGGGCCAATAAGTGAACGATACATCGGTTTCCCATCGTCGATCGGTCAATCAATTTTTTGCCGATCCGATAAAAATTGGAGAAACGTGCATAATGGAACGCGCTCAATGGATGCTTCTGGTACGATGTAAATTTTAATTTCAGGTGGGTCGTCCTGTTCTCACACCCGGCAGACTTTACACCTGTATGTACAACCGAGCTCGGTCGAATCGCCGTGCATTATCCCCATTTCGAGAGCCGCAATACTAAACTCTTGGCGCATTCGGTGGACAAGTTGAAGGATCACGTAGACTGGGTGAACGTAAGTCCGTTCATCGCTGGACTTTAAAACCCATCAAGCGGGAGCGTTGAGTGAAAGGCACGATAAGAGCTATTTTCAGAGTGTGGGATAAGTACGTGTAATGATTTTAGGACATCAAGTCGTACTGTCGAGACATTCCCGGGTCATTTCCGTACCCCATCATTGCCGATCCCGATCGCAGCTTAGCTGTCAAACTAGACATGATTGACGAGGAAGGTCAAAATGATCCAGAAGCTGCTTTGACCGTAAGAGCTCTCTACGTTATCAGCCCGGATCACCGACTTCGACTCTCGATGCATTACCCTACTTCGACTGGCAGAAACGTGGAGTGAGTACTCGAGCAGGAATTTTCATATGGTTTAGGGAAAAATTAATTCACAATCCCGTTTATTCCTGCAGTGAAATTCTAAGAGTCATTGATTCCTTGCAATTGGTTGATCGAATCCCGGCAATAGCGACCCCTGCCAATTGGACGGTAATGACGGACTTTTCGCTACGAACGGTAAAGCTTTAAAAAAAAAAATATATTAATGTACTTTTTATTAATTATAGCCTGGGGATAAAGTGATGATCCTGCCAACCGTCGAAGAGGAGGAGCTCTCAAAATTATTCCCCAAAGGAGTGGACAAAGTCTGCATGCCATCAGGAAAAGTCTATGTTCGCACTACCACTAATTATTAGTGGAGGATAAACATGAAATTGAAGGCTTTTATACTGTTGCGGGACTTGTCCAATATCGTGGACCATCGCTATAATGCATGGTAATTTTTATGTCTTCTTAATCGTTAGACTCTCAATTCGGTATTAAATATAATAAGTACAAAATATAAAAAGAATTTTTACTTACCACATTTTCGGGGAGCTTGTGACCAGGAAGATATTTAACGTTCTCATGCTGTTCGTTGATAATTTCTGTCAGCTTCTTGTTGTTTATGATTTCCTCGTACACGTACATGGTGACGCGTTCTTCAAATTTATTGTTAAATTTGACGACATTGGCACCGATGATTTTTGCAATCGCCGAGCCCCTGTAAACGTAAACGAGTCATCATTAAAATGAGTCTTCAAGTGTTTCATTTTAGTGGATATCGTAAATAAAATCACATCGGTATACCTCTGATGGATATGGTTAAACGAGAGAAACGAGTTTATTACGTGACCGCATGTGGTTTCTGTGTAATTTAATCACGCGAAGAAATATTGATACCGAGCGGTCCATTATACATTTAACAACTCCATGCTACTGGATTCTGTCTATTTTCATTATTATAGAATTCGATGTATAATTAATTATATAACTTCGGATATCCTTTAATTAATTTTTATACCGCTTATTGCACTTACGCTAGACGTATAGTTCATATTTTGTTCCCTTGGCTTTGCCATTTGGCATAATACTAGTGACCTTGTATGCAGACGTCATGCCAAACACTTTGAGGTACAGTTCATGCCAAATCCGAGCCTTTTCGTTGCAATATTATTTCTCAAGTATATTATTTAATATCTTAAAATCGTTGATATAATTCTTCCGACAAGAACGGACATCTTTGCATTCTCCATGAATACGCAAAATGATAAAGAGAGAGAATTAACGATTTTCGTTGGTACGTACCAATTTCCACTTCCTACGATGCAAATTTTCTTCTTGGTTGACATCTCGATTTGCTATTTATTTTTTTATCCCGCGAAGACTTGACGGAGCAGTGGTGACAGATGCTGACAGAAGTTTGACAGCAGGGTCTCGGTCACCTCGAGGGCTAATGTTCGATTAGTCGACTGACTTAATTTTGTACACCGGTTGTCATGACCTTAGTGACGATCATGAACAGCTTTACGTCCGGCCAGTGCGCATGCTTGGACGAAAACCAACTAAAACGCAATCGTGCGAACCAACTGGATTGGCTGTTAAAATTAGCGGGGCAATGATAATAGAGATAATGTTCACGCGTCGAATATATTCACAACGTAAATAGTAATACAATTGGCACCATTACGTCCAATCGCGAGAGAAATGCAACGTATGAGTGTCGTTGCTGCAGTAGCGAGGACTGCAAGTGCACTTCCTTGGTCTCCTCAGGGAATAATTTTCCATAAGTCACCACCCTAAATGATTACTCCCGCAAAAGAGATTTCGCACCTAGACACACTAAGGCTAAATATGAAAATTGCACGGGTATATTTAAAAATTGTACAGGGTATGGTAAGCCGCACTGGAGTGCGTGCAAGGTATACTGCGCGTTTCTAAAGTTTCTTCCTTCGATGGCGGTATGCAAAAATACAAAACTACCCTAGTAATCTTTACACTACTCGTAAATAGATTCTTAACCTAATGCATTTACTGGTATACGAGAATTACCTTATAGGTTGTCGAGATCCGCGGATGTTAACATGATCGATAAGGGATGAGTCGAATGGTTTGTGTGTATTAGTATTGAGCATGTGATGTAGCTGATTTTTAACGGACACGCCGAAGAGCCGTCGGAGTATGACTTGATGGCATTTCCTTAAAGTAAATATCACTTTTGGTGCCTCCTCCAGGGAATAAGATCTTCATAGATGACACCTTGGCGTAGGCATGTGCTGGCGTGTCGCGTTCTCGAGATCCCTAAATATGAACTTGCATTAATAAAGTCGACATCACCGTCAATGATATGGCCATTCACCGTTAGTCCAGTCACCCATACGTTAAACCACATATTTATCAACGAAACTAACGAATTAGGATTAAAGGCCGGTAAGAATAATTGCGTACTCGGATGATGCCGTAGACCTCGATTGCTGTAAGCGATTAAGATGATTAAGAATATGCGATACTGTAGGAAATAGAACGCTATCGGAAGAAAAAATAGTTTTCCAAGATTCACCCAAGTACTCTAAATTGTGTCGTTTTGAAAATATGTAGAATCGAATACAATGCGAACAAGCAATTTACGTGAAATGAGTGCGAACGTGATTGGGAGACGTGGGTTAACGTGACATTTTATATTAAACGAGGATTTTGTTGTCAACAAATAATATTTGTATATTTCTCTCCGTGAATACACAACTCTCGGTTGGTAACATTTAACAATTAAAATCAATAACAACACATAATAATCTACATTTTGTTAATCTTGTGCATGATCCAATGGCAACGTTCTCTTAGCGATCCCAGCGAGAGACTAGTGACGTCAAGTGATTAAAAGATTAACTTCTAGGGGTTTAGAATAATCTAAATAAACTTTCAGAGATTAAACAACGTTAGTAAGTTAATTTGGAATTTTATATTACAAGGACGTCTAATCGTCGAATGAGGAAACACCCGACATCGACGAAATGCATGACTACGGGCGATTGTCTACGATTCGATATGTTAAAAAAATAATTGACCGTCTCCTGAATTTTATTTTCCGGACCCATCGGAGGAGTAAAAGAACATTAAGAAACAAAGTACCAGCCCAGCAAGCTTTCTGCTACAAAAATAGAAATTCTATATCGTATTTCTAAACGAGAGCAGGTCTCCAACACATAATCTTAAGGTACTTCGCATTATTTGTACTATCTCTGCAGCAGCAGAGACATCAAGCATCAGGTAAGCCAGCGGTAACTGATCCCATATCTGTGCCCTTTATAAATGCTACATGAAACAAGCAAGACTCGCGGCGAATTAATTAAATAGAATTAAAAGTTACAAGTTCTCGCACTCTGACACAACCTACTGCTCTAACCAAATTAAACCGCCATTGATGTGCATAATGCATTACCAATTGAATAATCGATCGGTCACCTAACGGTTCTTGCAATTCCTTTCGGGATACGTTATCACCGGCCACAATGACTCTTATATATAAATATATACATGTATATACATATTTATATACAATTTTGGAATATGTTTTACGTCTATTTATGTTTGTTGAGACCGAAGGAATAAGGCTCGGGATCGTTAGAACTTACGAATGTGGGTTATTGTGATCTCAAAGCTTACATGTGTTTTGGCTCATTGCGGATGCTCTCGATGAAAGCCGATGGTTTCAATTCGCCGATGCAAATCCGGTGCACCGCCGTAAAGAGAGGAAATTCCTGCTCCATGTGTCTTGCCTTCAGCATATAATTTACCTCTTCTGCCGTGAACGGACCTTGAAGCTTTTGACCATTCAACATTTCCTTCTCCAATACCTCGATTGACTAAAAATAAAATATTTTTACTTAAATTTCCGATGGTCCTCGGGCATTTATTTAATGGTAAGCAAATTGCTGTGCCGCTAAGCCGATCCAAGTTCTGACCTTGTTGGTCTTGACGAAAGCTTCCGACACTTTTCGATTACGACCTCCGTAACATGTGGTGATTAAATCTGCAACGCCGCAACTTTCAAGGAACGTTGATAACTTTGCACCGGGATAAAATACCTCTACGAATTTAATCATCTCGATTAAGCCTATTCGGATTACGGCAGCTTTGGTATTATCACCTAGACCTAGACCATCGACGAAGCCTGCTCCGCAAGCTACGATATTCTGCAACGATATACATTATTATTTATTAGACAATGAAGTGGAATCGAATACTTAATAAAAATTATAACAACGGTGATTGCAACCTTGAGGGCGCCGCAACATTCCACGGCGTCTACATCCTCAACGACTACGACTCTGAAATATGGAGTTTGGATGAGATCTTTAAAAATGGGCGCCATTGCTTTGTCCTTACAACCTGGAATTGAAAAAAAAAAAATATATCGTTGAATTTATTTTTGCAATGGACAATTTTGAAATACGTCTACGGGCATACCTATGGTTGTTTCACAGAACATCTCTTCGGCGACTTCGGAGGCTAAATTGGCACCCATCAAGGCTGATACCGGAATATCGAGTTCTCGGGAAATAATGTGAGAGATTAATTCGATACCTCCACCTTCTTTCTTGTCAAAACCCTGCAAAGAAAACATATATCGTATTAATTTATCCTACATTTTTTTTTTATTGCATTTCCCTTACAAATTCCCAAAACTCACTTTAATGAGGGACAGACCAACCGCTGTGGGCTTAATTTTGCCACATATTGTTGAGCATATTCTACGAATAAATTGATGTGGCACAACAAAAATAAGTACATCAGCGTTCTTTGCCGCTTCCACGACGTCAGGTACGGCAACCTGCAAAAAGACAGATTATTTTATGTGGTCGTAATTTTAAAATTCAAGGCGCTACCAGAATTTCCATTTCTTCGAGTCATCGCCAAGATTGGTCAGCGACTATCTTTGTGTCTTTGACTCTGTTTAATGGACTTTGGTCAATTGCTGCGAGTTAACGAGATTACTCATAATTGCCGTATCCGTGCACTTTACTCTCATTGTCCAGTTCATTGTATAGTCACACCTTTTCGTTCGTTTACTTAAAGTCGGAAACAACAGAAAAAGTAGATGCGCTCGTAATGAAAGTACCTTATAAAAATGTGGGTTGTCATGAAAGTGCAGGGTAAACAGTCATATAAAAAAAATCCTAACTACTACGTAGGTTTATTCCGTATTCTGCGAGCGTGTACACGCGTTCGGGAACATTGTTATTGGCGAGCTTTAATCTCCGACTTCAATACCTCTATTCAGATATTTTTTTACAATCCTTCGTTACACCAAGGCCACAGTTGACTGATATTGGTAGCATAGCAACGGATAACGAGTAATCAAAGAGAGTTAAGTGAATCACGAGGAAGGGTCAACTCTTGCGGACTTTCTCCCGCGCGAAGAAGTTCCCTGATTACAAAATCCTACTTATTTTCGCATTACCGCAATTATAATTTTTTTCCATGACATAAGTCGCATACCACATTTTCTGGAATCTTATGGCCGGGCAGATACACCACGTTCTCATGGGTTTCATTGATGATTTCCGTCAGCTTTCTCCCATTCACCAACTCCTCGTAAACATACATAGTAACGCGGTCCTCAAACGTTGGTAACCTCTGAACATTGGTTCCCACTATTTTGGCAATCGTCGAACCCCTGAAAGTAAATAAATAATCAGAGTCATTCCATAATTTACACCCAAGATATAGAAACAACGAGCACGTTGCGATTTTCCACATAACATCCAACAACCATTTTTCCGAAATTCGTCCTTCGATCATTCATTCTCCTCTTACGTCAGCTGTTTTTCTACAGGAGGACGCACTCATCTAACGCCTGCGCGAAACCATAGGTGTAGAATAGTCGAAATACATCTCTCCCTTCAGCAGCCTTACAGGTCAGGGTCGAGTTATCCCCAGAATCCAGGAAATTAAAAATAAACTACGACGTCGTAAAAATCATCGACAAAATCGCTTCTCCGCTCCTATGACAAAATTCATAACCCGGGAGGCTTATTCCATAAGGTCGTTATTTGCAGAACCAACATTAGAGACGTATGCAAAGTCCGTCCTTCCACGATCCCTCCTCTCTTATCGCGGTAGATAGCATGCCAAGCATTTACACGTGGAGCGGTAGTCATACAGGTGTTCACGTTATACGTCATTATTCAATGTATAGGTTGAAAAAAAAAATCCCTTAAGGCGCGCTTAGGGACGTTTGGAGATACTCGACGAGAAGGAAAGGGCCGAATCGACCGAGCTTCACCTGCAGGGTGTATATATAGCCCGAGCAGAAAACCAGTCAGTCTATACCAGTTCCACGTGTGGACATCCGCCCTTCGCGTTCCCACCTACCACACGAACGAGTCAGCGATACGGCGAAGGCTGCACAAATTACGGGGAATTCAACCGAAGAACCGAAGTCCGAGGAAAGATTTTCGACGCGTCGGCAGTATCCGACTATCTCGCCGTGCGATAAAAAAAAAAGACTCGCGTTTTCGCGACTTGCGTAAGATCGAAATCGCGCGATACGAACGTGCGAGTGGTTCGAGGAGAATTTATGTAAGAAAAGCGCTTTACCAGTTCCCAGAGCCGACGATGCAGACGCATTGTTTGGCCATGATAAGGGCGGTGTGGACAAAGTCGGGGCCGAAAGTTTACACGGGTAAAATCGGTACGCTCAGCTGCGACGCCGACCTGGAACTGATTGTATCCACTGCTCCGCTCCAGGGGAGGCCCCTTCCTCGACATGGACGACCAGGCGTCGCTGCGGCCAAGGTCTGATTGGACGCCCGCCGACCAACCGGCGCAAGCTCTGATAAGGCCGTTGCCAGCAGCTGGTAACCTTCTCGCACGGTAAAACGCTCTTTCCTCTCGTTGGCACGCTCTTCCGTGAGATGGCATGCCTCTTCGCGTTGACGGTCGCTGATAGTCCTTATCGCCCGCGACCTGCCCTATCGATGCCTCCCGCGTAACAAATGGTAAATGGGCCGCAGCCATTCATCCGCGAGGTCTTCATCGATCCCGAGTAATCCTACCTAGGTACTTGAAATTTGTTTTCACGTAGAAATAGGATGGAAGGGACTCCATTAGGGTCTCGGTTTCGGTCTTGCGGAAATTTCTTAAATCGTACACATCGTGCAACCACCGTGTCGGACCGGGAGGCAACGACCGACACTTGGCAGACCCTCGATGAATTCGCCTAACCGGTACAGAGGTGGTGGCCGTCGACAGCTGCGGCTCCGGAAGAATAGTTTATGACCGGGGCATGCCAGGCGTCGTCGATAGCTACTCCTTTGACACCGCAAGCCACCCCCGTGGCTGCAGCCCCTAGGAGGAGCTTCCTCTAATACCGGCTGCTAGTGGCTCGGCATACGAATTGACCCGCAGAAATGAGCTACGCGAGACGCGGCCCTGGAATAATAATAAACCCGGTGCAACGTGCTCGGGTGTATGCACCTTGCGGCCAGAACTTCGGTATCTTTATTCCGAGACCACCCACGAGGGGGGCCGTAAAAGTGAAACCGCCCGACGCGTCCAAAACCATGAACAGTGCCGATGGGATCCCCTGATTAGCGATCGACTGCGCAATTACCGGCGAGGATCTTTGAAGGGACATTAAACAGGTAATTGAACTTCAGAGGGGAATCCGAAGTAAATGGACGGGGACTCGAATGCGGTAACTCGGAGGATGACGTTCCCGGCGTTTGCAGTCGCAAACTTAACGGGGAAACCCGAAGTTTTCCTTGCAGTCGAAGTCGAGCTGAATTACCCTCGTTGCGCGCTTCCGGCAATGTGCAAGCCAGGAACTCACTCCTACATCGGGCATAATGCAAAACTTTACGCGGCCTCGTAACTTTTCCCATTGGCGCGAGATCGTACCTCGCCGCAGGCCTCATTCACGCGATACACCGCAGAGTTTACCGTCCATGGACCGAAATCAAAGCGTGCGGATGAAAATGCGAATGCCGTTTGAATTTCATGATATTTAACGACAGAGAAGACGAGCCGCCTCGTTTGCTTACACTTTTGTAATATCATATTACGGCTCGTTTTCTCGAAGTGTGGCAATTTTTGTAAATTAAATTATTTTATTATCATGAAAAAATAAAACTACGCCCAGAAACGCGCGTAGGGACGATAGAAAAATAAGGTACACGTCGAGTCAAAAATATACAGGACGAAAAGGACCACGTGGAGGAAATCCGGCGACTGTTCGTTCATCCCACCGCGTGGCCAGATTGGAGCCGCGTCTCTCCCTTGCCTCGAAAAGCCGCCTATTTTCCGGAGCCTTGGTTGATCCGCTAATTTTCATCTCCTTCCTCGCCTCCCTCGGTCGAGTCCATGCCTACCTCCTCGTAATCCTTCTCGAGGGCAGCCAAATCCTCCCGAGCCTCGCTGAACTCGCCGTCGTCCATGTTCTCTCCGACGTACCTGAAACGGCGGCTCATGCCCAATTAACCACGCGTGCACGGGGCATAACCGAAACGATCGGGGGAAACTCGGAGAACGTCTCACCAATGAACGAAGGCTCGCTTGCTGAACATCAGGTCGAACTTCCTGTTCAGCCTGGTCCAGGCCTCCGCAATGGCGGTGGTGTTCGCCAACATCGCCATCGCCCGTTGGACCTTGGCCAGGTCGCCCCCGGGAACCACCGTGGGAGGCTGATAGTTGATGCCGACCTTAAAATCGAGCTCGGGTTACGCGTTTACCAGGATCTTGCCACGAGAGGCTCCCTCGGACGCACCTTAAATCCCGTTGGACACCAGTCAACGAACTGAATTGCTCGTTTGGTCTTGATCGTGGCAATGGAGGCGTTCACGTCCTTTGGAACGACGTCGCCTCTGTAGAGCATGCAGCAGGCCATGTATTTGCCCTTCCTCGGGTCGCATTTGACCATCTGATTAGCCGGCTCAAAGCAGGCCGAGGTCAGCTCCATGACGGTCAACTGTTCGTGATAAGCCTTCTCTATGGATACAATGGGCGCGTAGGTAGCCAGAGGGAAGTGGATGCGCGGATAAGGCACCAGGTTGGTCTGGAACTCGGTGAGGTCGACGTTGAGGGCTCCGTCGAACCTCAGGGAGGCGGTGATCGAGGACACGATCTGGCCGATCAGTCGATTCAGGTTGGTGTAGGTCGGCCTCTCGATGTCCAAGTTTCGTCGGCAAATGTCGTAGATCGCCTCGTTGTCCACGAGGAAGGCGCAATCCGAGTGCTCTAGAGTGGTGTGGGTCGTCAGGATGGCGTTGTAGGGCTCCACCACGGCGGTGGAGATCTGCGGCGAGGGGTAGATGGCGAACTCCAATTTGGCCTTCTTCCCGTAGTCGATGGAGAGCCAGTTCATCAGCAGAGAGGTGAAGCCGGAGCCGGTACCTCCGCCGAAGGCGTGGAAGATCAGGAACCCTTGGAGGCCGGAGCACGCGTCGGCGATCTTGCGGATCCGGTCCAGCACCAGTTCCAGCATCTCTTTGCCGAGCGTGTAGTGACCCCGGGCATAGTTGTTCGCCGCATCCTCCTTCCCGGATATCAGCTGTTCCGGGTGGAACAGCTGATGGTACGTGCCCGTGCGCACTTCGTCTAAACGCGAGAGACGATGTCGTGATCTCGCGAATCGGCGATGGACCAGGGAGGAAAAAAAAATCCGTACCTATCACGGTGGGCTCCAAGTCGATGAAAACTGCCCTGGGAACGTATTTGCCACCGCCGGTCTCGCTGAAGAAGGTCTGGAAGCCCTCGTCGTTGGCGCAGCTCTGCGGTGGGAGCATACCGTCAGGTTGTATGCCATGTTCCAGGCAGTAAAGCTCCCAGCACGCGTTCCCCATCTGAACGCCGCCTTGGCCAATGTGAACGGAGAGCACCTCGCGCTGCGAACGTGATTTTTCCTCGTTTACCAAACGGCCATGATCTTACATAAGAACCCCCAAGGCGCTCGTTGCTCCTGCCTAACGACGCTCCGAGCCGAGGCCCTATGGTTACCATTTTGCCGGGACGTCGTGGAAGCCGGATGGATGGTGGGATGAACGAACGATGCCGAAACTTCGACGGGACGAGTCAAACTGGCCGAAACAAGTGCAGGGGCTTGTTAGGGCGCTCTTATTTCCCGTGGTTTCCAGGGATACCCTATTAAGACGCGATTAATTAGCTAAGAAACGTGCCAAATGCCGGGATTTCCAGGCGGATACTCCGCTCCTGGACGATTCGATGTCGCAAAGTCTTTCGGACTAATTAATCGGATAAAAGGCGGGATCGTTCCTCGGAGATCTCCGAATCGCGAGCGAGGGACGCGGAAGCTCCCTCGAAGTTTCGTATACCTCAGCTTCCTGAAATCTCGCGAAGAAGAGAGAAAAGCTTGGCCTACATTGTGTTCTCGTTTCGTAGAGCTCGAGATAAAATTGCAGCTCCTCCTGAAAAGTCTGCCGGTTGACGTGCGGCAGAAATCTGCCCGACGACCGTGCACTAAACATGTGCGTCCTACTTTAACACCCGTTTTGCATGAAAAAGACGACCTCCGGGTCGAGATAGCTCGCAGCGAGTCGCGAGTTCGGGATTTTCGATAATCCCGTATTTGGGCCAAATATGACGGTTCGATGCACCCTGAACGTTCGGGGGTTCGGGAATCGACCTCTCCTCGTGGCTACTGGCGGGATTGGAATATCTTTCTCTCCCGAGTGGAAACCTTTTTTTCGAGTTAATCCTTTTGTTGGAGTACCAGCGGAGCGGGTGTATCGTCCATTTTCCTGCCTCCGCGTTCGCCGAGAAACGCGTACGAGGTTTCCCGTCCGTGTGCCTCAAGACGCGTCGAATCGGCTGACGAGTTCCAAACGTCGCATCTTTATCGATATTAAGCGTCAGGCATCAAGAGAACCAGACTTTACTCAAGGCGAAGATGTCCGAGCCGGGAAGTTGTGAGCTCCCTCGGATCCAGGATTATCCCCGGGCAGACATCTTGGTTCCGAGATATTAGAGCCTCTCAGGGCGTAACGATTTCGAAAAAGCCGCTTTCCCGGCTCTTCATCGAATCGCCTCCCTTGATGCTTATAACTACTAGTGAGAGAAATTAAACCCGGCGCCGAATTGCGATTTATATCGAAACTATTTGACGAAACACCGATGGCCAAAAATAAACCGCGCTCCGATGGGCTGTCTCGATTTTCGGTATTCACCCGAGATTTCCATCCCCGTCGATTTTCTCCTCTCGAGTTTTCAATCGTAATTCATCTCTTTATCCCTTTTATGACTACCTCGGTCCAGTTACCTCCTTCCCGGCTGTTATTACGTCATTGAATTCGCTGGGATCCTGCAGGACACGTCATTTTCCCTCGCTGGCTTTCGCGACACTTCTCGAGTCCCCGACGTGGTCGCCTCTCGCTCCCTCCTTCCTCTTCAGGCCTCGTCTCCTCTTTATCGCGCTCTCGTTTACCTTCCACGTTCCTGGCCATTTTCCTTCCTTCTCTTCCAGCCGCTCTTCAGCCTTCGCGGCTTCCGTTCCTGCAGAAGTGCACCTCTGGTGCTCGTTCCGTCCGACGTCTCCCGCACCGAGTCCTTTATTTCTTCCGCCTTTCTTCCCCGAGAAAGGTGTCTTCGCCCCGGGTCGAAGGAAACCCGCTAGAGAAGGGCCTCGCCGAACACCCGCCGATGACACCCGAGGATGAGACGGCTCGTGAAGTGGGAAAACGTTGATTCCGATGGCTGGCCCTTCGAGTCGCATCGGATTCCGCACCCCTGTCGATCATCGAGGGCCGAGACCGGGTTCGTTCATCCCCGGAAAAAGGAAGATGGCTTCTGGCTGCGAAGCGTTTTTAATTCGTCCTTTTTATTCGGGCTTTACGGTCGGCAAAAAGAGCAGGAGGGTATCTGGGCAGAGATCGATAGTTCCTACGCCCATGTGAGTATATACGAGAATGAGAGAGAGAGTGACTTCTGCATTCGAATTGCTCTCCTTTATCTCTCTACGCGGAAATTGCATTGTTCCATGGCACTATAGATGTCTGCCATTGGTACCTCTGCTGCCACTATCGCGACTAGGGTCCTGCTAGGACTATCGCCATCAACCGACTATTATCACCGTGTTTGCGGCGCTTGTAACCGGAACCTCCACTTTCCACCAGCTACAATCCAACCGTGTCTCTGCCAAGTTTGCCCAATTGTTTTCGTATGCCTACCGTGGTTTCGCGAACAAATTCAAATATCTATCGACGTCCTCCCGTCGACCACCCTCCACCTATTCATTTTCCTGTTTACGAGCTTTAACCATTATTTACGTGTTTCATAACTTTTGGCTAAAACAGCAATTTTTTAACTCTATCTCCTGAGAAGGATGTAGAAAAATCCTTCGGCTCCCGGGATCGCCCATTTGAATGGAAAATCCCTTTTCCTTGACCGCGCAGGACGATCCGAAAATTGGTTTCGTTATTCCCCTCCTGGGATCGTCTATGAAGGAAAAAGAGCACGTACAGATCCCTCCGAGTCGTGCCCTCCTTTTTCTGAGTTTTGCGTCGTTATGGGATCCACGATAGAATTCACCGTACCAATCTAACCGACGAGCATTAAAGAGGAGATATCCTTCGTATCAGGATATGCATAACGATCCGGTCCATCCAGGAACTCCATAAAAGTCTGCGCCCACGTCAGGGGCTATTGGAATCCTGTCTCAGACGTTTAATCCACCTCGCCGCATCCTCGATTGGTTTCCGATTGATGCCCCCAATTTCCAAAATCCCCACTCCATGGAAAAAATTCGGGGCTTTCTCCTTGATCCGACACGGCATTCGGCCGAGCCCGTTACTCGCAAATTCGAAGATTTTGCAATGGTCGGCCTTGGATTTCAAGGCGTGCCCTCCGTTACGCCCTCCTTGCACTTTCACTGTAAAACCTGCGACGCCCATAAGCTCGAGAGGTGCGTTGCATAAGCCGCAGGAAACGCGGGAACGAAATTCCCTTTCGCTTCTTCTCTCGCGGCTGATAGACGATCTAATTTTGCCTCGCGTCTTTCTCGATTAGGAACCTCCCGCCTGCGATGAACTTTGTCGATTTGCAAGGTCCTGCGATAATGGACTAATTTTTCAAACGCGGGGGCCAACCTTGGATGGTTGTGCCGATTTGCGTAAATACCGAAATTAAAGGCAGGCCGTTCCATAAAACGTCCAGGGGCTGGTAATTTTTTTTTCTCGACGTACCTCCACCCTCGGTATCGTCGTACTCGGGTGAATGAAAATTTCTTCGAAAATAAACTGCGAGCTCTTTGGCTCGGTTCGCTCCCGTAGGTAACTTCTGGTACCGCGCATTTTCCGGGACGAGTCTCGTTATGGCGGCTCGACGTTTTTCCGGCATTGTGGCCCGCTTCTCCCGGGATTTCAGATTTTCCTCTCTCGCTCCCCTTTTTCCGCGCTCCCCAGTCCCGGAGAAGGAGTCTTTGTTCCCGGCAGGATGTGGGTCAGTAATCATCGGAGCTCCGGTACACGCGCATCCAAAGTCCGACTGCACCTATAGCGACGGGGAGAGGCTGTTTCCTCGAACCAGGACCACCCCGGTTGTTACTTCCGGAACGTGGAGACACGGACGCACACCGGTGCAAGTAGAAAATGAAAACGCGGTACTCGTGCTCGCCGAAAAAATCGGCCGCTTTAATTGTTCCCTCGCGTTGGCGAGCATCCGCGAGCGTTTCATCCGTCAGGAAGGGACGATCGGATGCGGATGACTCGGTATTCACCGTAATTCCTTGCCAGGAAAAATTCCGCTCCACCGATTGGGACAATTTTCAGGTTCGAGGGGGGTCGAAAGATGGCTACGTCTCCTCGAGAAGCAAATATTCGAGGACCTAAGAGGAGGATTTCCTAAGGGTTTAGGTGTAGACCTAACGACCAGGATGTAAGGGAGATCGTAATGCCTTCCCCGTTTCGCTGGGCGACCTTACGTTGTACACATGCACTTGGATGCACACGTGCTATCCCACATCCGGTTAGGAGTCACCAAAGTCCGGCTTTACGACGCGCTCCTCAGGGACGAGGATCTGGGAGTTGCCTGCTTGTTGATCCGAGGTCGACGTTTATGCCGTTCCCTCGAAATTTTTACACCTCGATTTTTTAGGCCAATTCCCTTACGATCGGTTCGCGGATCTCGAGCGGTACTGGATGAACGATTGCCCGCGAATGCAAATGCAGCAACCGAAGAGTTGCGGACGTCGTTGTCCGCGTAACGTATTTGCACACGTCTTACCCCATATCCGGCTCGGCCTCCACAAAGTCCGGCTTTACGACCCACTGTTCCCAGATCGGGGCTCGGAAAAGTTCCTTTCTTTCCGACGGGAGTTCGAGCCGAGGTCGTCGTTTACTTTTCCCCGGAAATCCCCTTGACACTTCGTATCGACGTTGCAGCTTTTCTCTCGTGGCATCGCCTCGCTCTCGGGACGTCTCGAAAAAATTCTGTCGGACACGAATGATCCTAGGGGCATAAAAATATGTTTCCATTTTACAATAAGAACGATTAAAATGAATACAGTACGTCTAGATCGGTGGATTTAGCGATGGGCTATATTCGGGACAGAGAATCCCGTGGACGAGACTCGCCGGACTCCGGAGTCGATACTTATCGACAGCTGCCCCGATTCCTCGCTAAATCCTCCTCTTCCTCCTTTTCTTTTTCTTCTATGCCTAACGCTCCTACCCGAGGATTATAGACCAACCGCCCATCCCGGTCGTCAGGGGCCTTCGAGTTTAGCAAGTGGCAGCTGTCAAATCGTCGAGCACCTGACTGGGACAGATACCCGTAATTAGCATAAAATATGCCGAGGAGGTGCAACTTCATGAAATAATAACCGCTTCCTTCCTCTTCGCTTTTTTGCCGAAAGGGTGCCGAGTCTCTGCACGCCGGGTGAAAAGGTGCTGATTATTCGGAAGATCACTCCCCGGCAAAGTGCCACTGAATCGTAACGACGTGTTCACGGTCGCGGCAACCCGCTTGTTATTTTTTTATTATGCCTGATGCAGGTCCAAATTTGAGCTGGTATTAATTTATTTGGAAAAAAAATAAGGGGAATCTCTTGGAATGAAAT